CTACTATAACTTAAGATGATTACATTTATTGTGATGAATTAATATAAATGAAACACTTCAATTAACTAATTCACTAGCAATAAAATAGAATAATTGGCAATGTATCTAACAAGTGTGACATTGTATTGATTGCATGCATCACAACAGACAGTAATGGGCCTGCTTTCTTCTAGAATCATATTTCACATATCATCCAGTACTCTTATATCAAACCGTTACACAATAGCAGTCTCTATTTTCCTATCTATATTATGCCACTGTCCAGCTGAACTGGCTGCCCTTAGATGCTAAGCGCATATTAATGACAGCTGTCATAAGCATTAGAAAAGATTAAAAGCGATTTACACAAATGTATATTTTCTTTAATCTTTGTGATATTCTGTTTTAAAAGTAACAAACAACACCTCCATCTCACTTAACGCACCCTTCATTGGGAATGGGTTTTCTTTTGTAACTGGAAACTGCCTGCGTGACATTTTTCCTGGAATCCCTGAAAATTCGACCTGGTATGAGTTTGTAGGTAGCGCAGGATTATACTCTTAAGGGCTTTAATGGGTGTTCTGTAACAGCATTATATTTAGAAAAAGCCACTGCCTTACAAGGTCCTAGCTACTATTATGGAATCCTATTGTCACTACAGTTTGGATTTGTATTTTCCTTTCCCATTTCTCATTCAGAATACCCCCATATTTACTACTGTATAAACCTCATCTGTATTATTCTTTAACGTGTTAACATTGTTGACACTATCATTTTACTCCCCAGATCCTCCACATAAAAAATAACGAGGCAAAAGCATTTAGGTTTGCACTTTAGAACTGTCACAGATTAAGCTGGGTACATTAATGGATTATCGGACAATGTTTTTTCCTTTTTGACTCGCACTGCTCCAGAGTAGCTCTGGTGATGTAGAGGGATTATTGTACAATACTGCAACCACTTTTCTCTGAACAGAAGTGAAAGCAATATTTGCATTACCACAGAGCTGGAGATACAGTTTAGAGGATGCTTATGATCTACGTGCATTAAGACAAAGTTAATATTGTTTATTTTCCGAACATATCATCATTTATGAATCCAAAATAATCAAATGCATGCACTTTTTGCTTAATTCTACAGTTGAATTTCCACTTCCTGAGCTCTGTGTTCCTGGAACGTGCTCACCAAGCTGTTACTTTTAGAAAGCACAGATGTAATCTCCCTGGGTCGAGAGTGAAAAAAAAAAGATGCCAAAAACTATTTTCATGCATTCAGATTCTAAATGTATAATGTATGGATAATCCTGACAGTGTCACTGACTGTTCAAATCTGTACAGAATGTGATTGTCACTACTGTATGTGTCTGTTTTGTGTCTAATTTGTCAAAGTTAAAGGTTTGTGTTTGTCCAGTTGTGTTTTGTTCACTGTTGACCTCTCACTGATTATAACATCATGACCTTTCCTAAGCGATGCAGTGTATTCTGCTTTATGGACAGATTTGCAGTGGGATTTGCAGAATGGGATTTAGCAACTAAAGTTAGAGCCAGGGATGCACACAGTTTGAACTTTGTCCATGTTTTTTTGGTCCATGCCCTGAGGAGTTGGGCGGTGGGTATCAGGCTGTACTAAAACAATTTAACTCAATCTCCTTGCATAAAGGAGGGAATGTGAATGACCTTTGTTTGAGTATGTTTCAGGGTCCCCTCCGCCCTTGAGTCTGAATATAGTGTACCAACCTGAAAGGATGCTGACTTAACACATTAGGTCATCTTTTGTATCTTCAGCACTCCTGTACAGAGAGAGCGAGTGACAGTCTGATCTTAGGTGAAACATTGAAGAATGTAATCATAGGACTTGAGAAATCTACTGTCTTCTATGAGACTTTTGCACCAAACTGGGTTTGCATTTCCTTTCAGTGTTAAATTATTTTATCAAGTGAGTTTTAAGAAAATCCAAGTCTGTGACCAAGCAATATTTTGCTGATCGAATGAACATCAAATCAAATCAAGTTTTATTTATATAGCACATTTATAAACGATTTTTGGTCGAGCCAAAGTGCTGCACATTAAATAAAAATAGCCTACAGTAGAGACACTTTACAGCAAATACAACAGCACAGATTGTTCAGAATATCAGTATGAGAAAAACAACATAGCCCAATCTTTGAGAGAAGGACCAAAAAAACAACTTTTAAAGAGATGGAATTGCTGCCACACAACCACATCAAACAGGAGAATGCGTGTTGACAAGCTGTCATGGGAAGGTTGTGATACCAAGTAATTCATTGTCTTCTTTGACAAGATTTACATTGGTGGTCTATGTGAAACTCTGCTTACAGCAACTTTCAAGGTCAAACACCTCTCAATATGTGATTCCCCCCTGCTCAAGACACAAAAGGAAATATGGGGTCCAAAGTCGCAACACCATATGAAAAAGAAAGCAAATATTTAATGTTTGTTCTCTCTTCCCTTTATGGTAGGGGGCAGGTTTTGTCTGTCTAAACACACATTTACAACAAACAACTGTGGGAGAACCCAGAGGAAACACCGACATTCCAGCTGACTGTCTCCAAGAAAGCCATTAAAAGGTAAAGTCACTCTCCGTGTCAAAATATCCTCAGAGTAACAGTAACATTGACCAAAGGATTGTTTTCATTTCACTCAGCAGCTGAGACTTACGAAGGGTTTGTCACCAGGCTCAAAGGCTTACGAACTTTAGTCGAGAGTGTGGTTTGAACCTAACATCTATCTAAAGTGACAGGTCGGTAAACATTAGGATGTGTGAGTCAACCTGAAATCCCTTACATTTGTTTTCTCTTTTCAAATCCTTTTGACTTAAATCCTTGTGTGCTAATAGTGAACTGGCATCAACTTAGACTGGAGTTTAAGGAGTTGGCCAAATTTAAAAACATGCACGGGAAGGAAACGCTCATAAGTGCACTCTTATTGCCATTTTGTCGTTAAAAACATAAAAGTGGCTTTCAAATTGAAAGACGAAAGGACATTATGATCCAAATTAAGTGAAGTAAAGTAAGGACAATAACTGCTCTGGCTTTGTCAATGTTCTTCCATTATTTCGCTGATCTCCAGCATACCTGTTTCTAAAAAGGCAATAATGGGAAGCATGACTTTGACTGGGCAGTTAGGTGTACGTGTACCTTTGTATAATTTGTTTTTCAAAGTTAATTGGAGGACTTTCCCAAGAGTATGTGAGTTGAGTTGCCTATTTCTAGTCTTTTTTTATATTGCATAAAACATTTGTACCTACATGTGGAGAATGATCTCAATCGATTACAATTACAAATATTGTTTTTATGAGCCTAAAAAATTAAAGCACAATCCCTTAATCATATTTTACACATTCTTTGTATCATATTCCAAAATTAATTTACATTCAGTTATAGTCATCTGTTTAACTTTGCTTTCATATATCTTGTGGAATTTCAGTGCCATAGTCTATGACTTTCAAAATGAAATCAACTTGAACGCCTTGGTTTCAGGGGAGATGTCATCTTCTTATTACAGACACATGCATTTCCTAACATTCGGTCTATATGCTGTAAAATGTATTATCTCTTCGATTTACACACGGCATCTATTGCACGTCTGTCCGTCCTGGGAGAGGGATGCCTCCTCTGTTGCTCTCCCTGAGGTTTCTCCCATTGTTTCCCCTTAAACTGTGGGTTTTCTCTGGAAGTTTTTCCTTGTACGATGTGAGGGTCTAAGGATAGAGGGTGTCGTTTTTTCTCATACTGATATTCTGAACAATCTGTGCTGTTGTATTTGCTGTAAAGTGTCTCTACTGTAGGCTATTTTTATTATATGTACAGCCATAGGCGGCGCGTGAGGCTCATGTTTGGGAAGGCTAAATGACTTTTTTTACCTGACGCTGCCCGACTCCGGCGTCTATAGAAAAGACATCAACTCAGTGAAAGCACCGCCTGCTGACCAATCAGAGCCATATTTCCTTATCTGAGTCAGCTTCTCGAGCCGTATCTGGCCGTGCAACACTTACATTGTCACATAGGCTACTGTATGCATAAGTATTATTTTAAGCAACACATTAGGTTGACGAAACACTCAACTCAAATGTAATTAAAGTCAGATCCACTCGTGTCTAGATGGGGCAGTGATATCATAAAACTGTTGTACGCTTTCAAACACTCGATCGTTTATTTTTTTAACCAGTTGTTATATTCACCTTGCAGGTGCAATTATGTGGCTTGTATCCTGGATTATATGTTTAAATCATGGACGTTTAAAGTTCATATTTGTCTAATATTAGTTTACTTTTCATTAATGAAGTATGACACTGCGCTGTCAGTACACTTGTCCCAGATACGGCTCTGAGTTGTCCCTGTTTGTGATTGGTCAAATGTTGCTAACCCCGCCCCTTTCACGTGAACGCTTTCAGCTGGAGAGAGAAACCCTGGCTTGATTTACCGAGTTGATAACCAGCGTCGTAGGACCGCTTAGCGAGATCTCGTTTGTTAGGGTTAGTTAAGATAACTCAAACATATCCAGGGTCTGTTGAACTGGCTTCGTAGTACAGGGCACAGCGATAATGTCAAAGACACAAACATTATAGGCTACATTATATTTTTATTTTACCAGGATGCAGTGACAAAAATATTTGGGAAGCCCCTGTGTACAGCACTTTGTCTCGACCAAAAATCGTTTATAAATGTGCTATAAATAAAACTTGATTTGATTTGATTTGATTTGAAAGATCAACAAAGGAGGGGCGGGGGGGGTTGGAATAATTCCTTCATGTTTTCAGGCTGCTTAGTTATGGTCCATGTGTTATGGCAGTGTTGGATTGTTTAAATAGTAACCGCTAGAGGGATACATATACGCCTTTCAAACTCCGTAAACACCATCTTATCCCTATGTGGCATGAAGAGAATTGCCGTCAGTGAGAGTTGCCTACCTGTGTGACTTCCCACTTTGAAAAAAAACACAGCCCCGGAACATTTGAAACATGAGTTGTTCTTAAACAGACTTAGAGAGAAACTGCCTGTAAAGCGGACGGCGAGCTCCGACTGCTCCAAGTGTTTCTGCTCCAGGCATCAATGAGGACCGCGATGCTTACTTCTGCAGCTCTCTTCCCCTCTTTCTCTCATTCGCCTTACCAGATATTATAGTGCATTTCAACTTTTGTACAGGCATACAGGCAAGGGGAAGTTTGGATTGCATTTTTTTATCACAATTTACCTCTTGTTTTCTGTAATAAATATGAGAGGTCGGTTTGTTGTCACTTTTCTTTGGAATTTAATATGTGCTATTTCTTATGCTGTTTTACGGGTAGGATAAGGAAACAACAAAAAGGTGTGACAAGAGCTTGGCGGACAACTGTGGATTTCTGCGAGTAACTCCTACCGTCAAAAGGGGATGAGGGGGGCATCGGCCGGACCCCCCTCTTGATTGATTACTTATTAGTCATCCCTTTGGCTAAATGGGACCCATTGAAAAGGCACCGTGGAACACATACATGAATCAAATATTCCTGTGTCCCCCGAATGTCTCCAGAGTAGTTTTGCTTAAGAGAGGGGGTCGTGGCTTAGCATTATAAAGAGGGAAAAACAGCATAGCTTTATGGGTTTATTTAGACAGTTTCTACGGTTTGACATTCTACGGCTTTAAAAAAAAGAGAAAAGGAAAAACTCGAGGATTCTAAAGAGGAGAACATTTTGGACATACATTTTTTGTAGTATTCCGTTGTTTCTTTTAATTTTTTTCCCTTTAATTTTTTTTGTATTTTTTTGCTATTTCCTCTCCCGAAAAATGAAACTTTGGACATCTCCCTGGGTGTCTTGCCTGGTGATTCTCATCTTGTGTTTTGGATCAGAGTGCGGGACAGTCCGGAGATCCAAGAGGGAGTTGGTGCGCATTAGGGAGGCGAAAGCCATCCCAGGGGCTTGTGCCACACGTCTGCCCCGGGGCAAACGCTCTTTGCCCGGCTTGGAGCGACGGGTTCCTCGCCAGCGTCGGCGCTCCTCTCAGGCGGAGGAAAACTCTCCGGATCGGGGCAAAGCTGTCTATTTTACCGGCAGGGGAGATCAGCTGCGGCTGAAGCCTGGCGTGGAGATACCAAGAGGAAATTTCACTCTGGAGATGTGGATCAAACCGGAGGGAGGTCAACGATCACCCACAGTGATTGCAGGTAGGATATTCTACACATTCTCCATCCTTTTATCAACACAACTCCTTGTATTAGTGAACTCCAAAACTAGCAGTTTACATTGGACTATTATAACTAAACATGCATATTTGCTATATTTTACCCCACATGTAGTCTGAAATAAAACAACATGCAGTTTCAGGGAGTTGAAAATGAGTTCATCTATCAGACTAGACAATGATGTAATGCTCTTTTAGTACAGCGGATATTTAAGGTAGTGCACACAAGGGTCACTCAAGATTTTGATCAAATTAAGTTTTCCCTACAAACAGAGAGAACATTTGCTGCAAAAATGATTGAATTTCCAAAAATATTTTTTTCTGTATTTTCTGCACTTCAGAATAATGATTTATGTTGGTTATTATCATTAAATTGAGGAGTACTGGCAGCAGATAGGCTGCTGCATAATTTGACAGGCAGCTGATGTCACTGTGCGTAAAATGTAATTTCTCTGAACCGATTTGGCTATTTTAAAACTATGATGTAATGGTCCAAACTTTGTGAGCGAGCACGTCATGTCAGGCACAAAGCGGAAGATATCTGTATAGGATCTCAAAGCGCTCAGCACAAGCCGCAAGCTTGAGTGTCCCCCAACATCGACACCTTTGGATTGGCTACCGGAGTTACGGGACAGTACTGGGAGACCATGGGTTTCCCCTCATGGCCAAATATGTCCTGTGTGTGTTTGTGCTGTATTGGTGTGCATTTATTGTGCTCGTTGTGTTTAGGACAGTCCCTCCATCACGCAGACTGTTTTACAAAAGCATGCGTTATTTGGCGAGTCTCTAATTTACGGCACCATCAGATATGATGCATAATTGTCCACTGACGGCGCAGAGCTGGTTACTAGTACATTATAGTAGATCCGCGTGGTTAGAGGAAAGCTTGACACTTTGTAGATGTCATCTGTACGTAGCCCTTTTTCTCCTCCTGCCATGCGTAAAAGAGCTCCAGAAAGGTGTTGAAAACTGTTCTGCATCATCTGTTTTGACCAATAGCGCTTTTGTGCATTACAGTATAGGACAGGGTTTCTTGTTGCCTTTCTTTGCCGATAGGGAGCGTTGCATACACAACTCATTGCCTGCTACAGTACTTGTGCAGATGGCTGCATTTGAACTGAACTGAATTGAACCCATGCAGTCCTCCTAAGCCTCCATATGCCAGTCTGCACGTATGGGGACTAAACCATATGAGTAAATTGACTTGCTCCTTTTATTTTATTCTGTCTGGCTCTCTCAAAACAACCCCTCCCCCCAAAAAAAATACATACATAATCACTTATGTGTGTGTGTTTTTGTGTGTGTATTGAGATACACTTTTCGGTAGTGCTAGCCAGTTGGCAGGAACATGCTCTGCAAAACCAATCCCTTTTCAGAGTCTCAAACTAGGGGATAGGAGGTTGAGAGGGTCTGTTGTGACCTGAGGGACTCCTATATTTACAGAGGATGGACACAATAACAGCAACATCTGTACAGTATTATGCAATCCAGTACAACAACAACAACAACAACAACACTAACAAAGGCCACACAATGTCCATAGAGTTAAATAAACACCTTGAGAACACAATCTCCTACAGAGAATACACTTTATAGACGTTACGGACATGGTATTGCATGACATTATTATGTACAGGTGTTGTTGTGATGCCCCGCCCCCATCTTTTAATGGCCTGTCCTTACTAGAGATTACCATCCATGTATAATCTTGTTTTTTTTTTAAGACTTTCTCCCATCACGCTCCCACTAGTGTGCCAGAGAGAGGACCTATAAAGCTAGCAAATATGATGATCAAACAAATTCAACAAAGCCTAATCTTTTAAATCCAATTCAGGCCTAGAAAATCCCAGTGCCTCTAAATTGCTCCATCCCCTTGTTTTGATCCAAGCAGAGAGTGTTGTTTGCAGCAGCTGTTTTTTTTTTTACTGTGTTGTTTTGACCACCACAATGTCTCTCTTTCTATATCCTTCTGCATTTGTATCTGTCTTTTTTATTCTTAGAGTCTTCCAGATTTCAATGATTCTTTTTCGTAACACTTGGGTTGTGGTTTTGTATGCAATTGGTAGGGAATTATCACTCATAAAGCGAGCAAAGTCTCTGGCTTTAAAAAGAAACTGCTGGCAGCACATGAATGTTCTGGTACTTTTGTATCCTTGTTATTGTCTCTGTTTTTGAGTTTTGTCTTGCACACACGATTCCTATAACTCTGCGCAATGTCTTCCCTTACAAAAAGATGAAAGGGTTGTAATTGATCAATTGCTCATAAATATAAAGGAGGAACTTCAAATTAACAATTACTCAAAAGGCATTATGTGCGCCTTCGGATCTGACGGTACAATGAAATTGTTTAATAATCAGAATTAGCTTTATTGGCCAAGGTACACACACAAGAACATTGACTCAGCTGCTCTCAATGCACATACACAAGATATCGAAAAACAGTTAAAACAAGGAAAAAAACTGGGCAAAGTTGTACATAGTTAAGAGTAAGACAATAGTGCAATGTAACAGGTAACCTTATGAAGTAGGTCGATGTGTGAGCAGTGAGCCTAGATTTGTATTTAACAATGATGATATACAATACCATTTCTTAGAGCAGTAGAGCAGAACCACTTTTCAGCTGAAAAGAGATTGTCCAGGGATAAATAACTGCTACTTCATTCTCCAGAGATGAGTGGTCAAACCATACATGTGTGCAGGGTCGGCGTCATGGGGGGTCATTCGCGGGCCATGCCCCCCAAATGAGTCACTGTGCCCCCCCAACGCAGGGTTGGCAAGACTTGCCACTTTGCCGTTTTTTTCTTTTTTTAATCATATAAGTGAAAACGTTTCTACTAAAGGTTTTTTGTGTGAAATACATCAGAAATAAAGAATACAAATATAAAACACAGGTGTGCTCACTGCTGCTCTCTGATTGGTGTGTTGCTTGACCAATGACCCCCGACCTTTTTTTTGTTATCATTACGTGGCTGTGTGTTTAGATGAAAGCCCAGTGGCGATCTGTTCATCTGTTGTACTGATTATACAGTAAAGCCATCGAAAATAATATGATATACAGTACAGTACAAGTACATGGGTCTCTGTGTTTCATTCAAGCTTGGCTCTGTGTGGCACTCGAGCAAATTTTGTAAGTGCGCGAGTGGTAACGTGGAATGTTGTTAGCATCTGGTTAGCTAGCTATGCTAACGGATATAAAGAGCTGTTTCTACACCAAGGTGGAGGAGAGTCCTCTCCTGTCAGACTGAGAGGATCTTATAACGTCAGCTCAGTGAGGTAAGGACTCTCTCAGTGTTTAGATAGTTCACTTTAGTGTAAGTTATCTCAGTGGGTCTCAAACGGTTTGGTCACCATTTATGTAAGTATTTTCGAGGAATACCTTTATATGATCATTATAGTTGTTAAAGAGAGAATACATGACAAACGGGTATGAAATACTATTGGACAGTAACACAAGAATACAGTTTAAAAGGGGAGTGATTAGTAAAATATCCATAAAGAAAAAGTAAATCTGTGTACAGTTGTGTTTCATATGGATGCTGAGAGGTGTAGGCTATCCATAGATCTCTTCATTTTGCTCTCCAAGTGCACCAGATTGATGCATTTAACTTCAATATTTAAAAAATAATCTTCCCGGGGGAGCATGCCCCCAGACCCTCCTAGAGGTTAGGTCCACTCCCACCTAAAACATGTTCACATGGATAGGATACTAAATACATTTGCACACTTTTCATATGATGGCCTATGTCCATATCAAATCAAATCAAGTTTTATTTATATAGCACATTTTTCAACGATTTTTGGTCGAGCCAAAGTGCTGTACATATAATAAAAAATAACCTACAGTAAAGACACTTTACAACAAATACAACAGCGCAGTTTGTGCAGAATATCAGTATGAGAAAACGACACCCTCTGTCCTTATATGTTTCTGCTTTGGTGGTCGTGCCACAACCGTGCATGTATGCAGAAGTCATAGGTGCGCTATACAATAGCACTACACTCCTGCAATGTGTGTGAAAGACAATAGACTTTACAGCATGTTTTTTTTAATTGAAGTTGCGTTGGTGTTTGTGTGTTGGTTGTTGACGGCAGTGTGTGCCCCCCCTTGGTAAATGATTTCCCCCCCATTCGATTTGTTCTGGAGCCGACCCTGCATGTGTGGCTCACCTTGATCTTTGAATTAACCCATGGGGAAAAAGTATTTCCTTTGCTGTCATTTCCCGAGTGTGACAGTGACATGTGGCTAGAATTGATCCCAGGTACAAAAACATTCATAACACTTTTAGAGACACACACACACACACACACACACGCGCGCACCCACACACACACACACACACGCACACTCACACGCACGCACACACACACACACACACACACCACACACACACACACACACACACACACACGTTGCACACACACGCACTCACTCACACACACACACACACACACACACACACACACACACACACACACACACACACACACACACACACTTGTGTGATCGCTGCTATAACTGATATTTTTGGTGCATTCATGCTAGTTTGATAATACATGCGACCATTTTTTCCAAAACATTTTTATTTGCTCATATTTTTTGTCATGGATACTTGAAAATGTAATCTTCCGGTTTCATTAACAAGTCATCATGTTAGTTAGGACACTAAGAGGAAAGATATATATCCTGGAGATGGGTAATTACCTTGCATGTGGTTACAGTTTCAAGAGGGAGTTTAGACTTTAGTGCTACACTTATCTCAGCAATCAATCACTACCTCAACTATAAATGTTTCAGTCATCATGGTCATGCACTTTGCTTCACTGAGCCATAGAGAGAGTTAGTTGGGTTCCAATACATCCCAGTTAATGTCCTTGGATTATGGTTTTGTGGGATGACAGTGTTCCAGTATGAGTTACAGTTCATAAAAAGTGGTATTAATTTATCACATCTGAACTTGCAACTATTGGCAGATCATTTATCCCTCAATGAAACCAGCATTACGTTAAACTCATTCAGACTGAAGCTTGATAGCCAAGTCAAATATTTTAAGTAGAGTGTTTTCAAGTGATGTGATGACTTTTTTTTATAATCAATATACTTTCTATGTTTATAAAGTTTGGGTTTATAGTATCATTGGAACTTTCCATTTTCTACACAGGGAAACTGCTGTAGCAGTCATTTTAGTATGACTATGAAGTGCCTTACTTTGACCTTTTAGAGCCATAACAGCTCAAAAGTAAACGGCGTATTCATTGTTCCCTTCCGCTCTGCTTATTATCAAGTCCTTGTGACATTTTTCTTTTTGTGTGTATGTGTTTTTTCTTTGACTTTTTCTTTTATCCTGACTGTGTTTTTCTTGGAAGAAGACAAAGGCCAAGTGCTAGAAAAGTTGCCTTTGAACCTGACAGGAACAGCTCTCTGTAGCGTGTGCACATGCAAATCCCTGCGTGTCTATGGGGGATTCTGAATAGACACAAAAATATGTGGTTTAGCTTTTCAATTTGTCTGCGAATATGGGATTGTATGTATTTCTTCATGAGCATGTATACTGTAAACACAAGTCAGTATAAGTATGTGCATATGTGTGTGTAGGTGTGTTTGTGTGTGCCAGAGGAGTCACAGTGCAGGGTCTGGAAAAGTGTTGTGTGTTAGATTAATTGAGCATGGCAGAATTATGACAGCTGTTTACACTAGGAGCCCTACGAGCATTTTAGCACACCTTTTAGCCTTGAGTGCACTGGCTGACAGATGGACGGCTTTTTCCTTCCAGTGTATTGGAAAGCCTGAAAACGTCATCCACCAAAGGACTGACCTTGACGCTGAACCCAAGCCTCGCTCTTTGAACATTAGTCCATTGAAATACCAAGTTAATGAATGCATACTGGAGTGCGCATCTAATTAGAAACAGGTCAAAGTTAGCAAGATGTCCGTGCAATTACCATTAGCCAGCCACTTATTGCAGGCTCAGGTAGCCTAATCGATGGGGAACAAAGGCATTTGAGTGAACAAGTGCATTGAGGCAAAGATGTGATCATCATAATGATAATAAGCTTATCATTTGAGACCATACTAAAGTCAGAACAGAACAATATGAAGGGTATTTACAGGCATCTGATGCATATATCCTAGAATCAACTGCAAAGGACACTCAATACCAATATGGGCTGAGTGTGGATGTCACAGATTAGGTGTCTCTTTGCAAATGGACATAATTCCCAGAAAGCTCATGGTTAGAAATGTTACCATGATATTAGCAAATTCCAGGAATGTATTCCTGTCACAAGAGCGGAGTCCTGCTCTCTCCCCAGAATCACCTGCGAACACAGACTTTCACATGCTTGTAAGGCACAACAAGGTGCTATGGAATCTTTGCACACTCTGACTGGACGAACATACATTAAAAAACACACGCACCACAGGCATACACTTGTGCGCCTTCACACACGTACCTCAACAAGTGTTAAACAAACAAACAGTTAACATTCAGAGATCCCCTAAGATGTGAAAACACATTACCATGCTGAATCTGACATACCAAGTGCAACAGGAAAAAGGTGTTTTGGTGCCTCTACAAAAACAAGGCTTTAGCAAAAACTAGCCTTTACTGGCTACCCCACTGGCAAGGAACATTAACACAAGTGACTTTAAATAAACTCAGTGTGTGCAAGACGCCTATACAGAGAGATTTCCATGGGGTCTCCCTTAGCTAAAAATGCACTTCAACCCAATTTCCAGGACAACATGCACTCAGATCTGCACAAAAATAAACAATCATATTAATACATTCACTCCTTTATCCCAACAAAATGTTTTAAATCCTACTTGGGTGATAAAAAAGCATACCTTGAAATCTAATTGGCATATTAACCACAAATAACATTAAGGATCATATGTACATCTAGTATCAGTAGAGTGTCAGCCATTGCTGCAGATTTTTTCTGATGTTCAGGGTGAGATTCATGCCTGGAAATAAAGGAATGCATATATTAATTGGTTCTTTTTTTCATTCTCTCTCCAGGTCTATACGACAAATGTTTCTACGCCTCTAGTGACCGAGGCTGGTTGCTTGGCATCCAGGCGGTTAGTGAACACGGGAATCGTGATCCCCGCTTCTTCTTTTCTCTCAAAACGGACCGTGCCCACAAAGTGACCTCCATCCACTCCAATGCTCGTTATGGACCCAACCAATGGGCACATGTGGCAGTCACATATGACGGTGTATACATGAAGCTCTTTGTCAATGGGGCCCAAGTGGGTGTCAGTCGCGAGCAATCGGGCGATGTCTTCAGCCATTTGACCAAAAAGTGCAAAGTGCTGATGATTGGGGGGAACGCACTGAATCATAATTACAGGGGGGCAGTGGAGAGGGTGGGCCTATGGAGGCAGGCCAGAGGGCAGAGGCAGATTATCAGGGATATGCAGGGCCACGAGGACCCCCAAGATCTACCTCAGCTGGTCATACGTGAAACATTTGAGCACCCAGGCCGGAAGTGGCTGACTGTAAAAGATGGTAGCTTTCCTCAGCCTGAGGAGGGGGGAGGCGGACGATTAGGATTCCTGGGTGGTGTTGGAGTTGTTAATTCTGAGGGAATATTGGACACAACACTGGACCCGCCATCTTGTGGTCAAACTGTCTGCGACAATGTTCAGGTCATCAAGAACTACAACAACCTTTGGAACTTCCGTCGACCGAAGAAAGTACGTTATCGTGTCATCAATGTTTGGGACGATTTACGGATAAAGCCAACTGTATCAGACCACCAGATCAGCCTGCAACACCAGCAGCTAAATGATGCCTTTAGCCCCTATAACATCAGCTGGGAGCTTAGCGTTCACAATGTGACCAACTCCTCCCTTCGGAACCGCCTGATTCTAGCTAACTGTGATATCAGCAAAGTTGGCGATGATGCATGCGACCCAGAATGCAACCACCCGCTGACAGGGTATGATGCAGGTGACTGTATGTCTGGGTATCGGAGCCGTTGCCCTGAGCACAAGCAGGGAAATGGTGTGTGTGACCCTGAATGTAACTGGGAAAACTTCTTCTATGACCTCGGCGACTGCTGTAACCCTAATGTTACTGATGTGACCAAGACATGCTTCAACCGCTCGTCTCCACACAAGTAAGATCACACTCTTCACATTTTGCATGTTACCATGTTTGTGGCACTGGTAATCCTCTTTGGTCGTTGTTTAATAAACAAAATACTTACATTCCCCTAAAAGCTTTATCCAACCACAGCATTCCTTGCCTAATTTGATACATTCTTTTGGTTGACATGATTGAATAATTTTGGTAAACCAACTCTACACCATGGCCTCACATGTCTAGAGTAAACCAGACAACAAATCTTTCCATACATGTGTCCCTGAAGAGATGTTTTAATGTCTAGTCCTACTGTTTCCTGACCATTTGGGCTGAGGCTGAGTGTAACATAACTCCCCGCCTGTGTGGCCTAGGAAATCCTCTGGGAGCAGCTAGTCCAATCTAGCCTTGGCCGGGTTCAATCAGTGTTCCACACTTAAGCAGGGCAAAACAAACTCAACCGGATGACTTTCCTTGAAGCTAATGCACAGGCCAGATCACTCATTTATGTATCAATTTTTCAACAACTCTCCTTTTTCTGTATTCTATGTCTCCTATACCCATAGGTCCTAATTAAGCTGACTTGATTGGAGAAGGGAGTTGGTTTGGAAAGAGTGACATAGTAAACAGAGTGTAAGGGCAATTACAGGTCAGAAAAGAGAGTCCAGTATGTTTTTTTTTGCTTGTAGCTATGGAAATAATTTCAAAGACATACCACTCTCTCCAGGAAACCACTGAAAGACATGTTTCCTGGGGAGGCAGGTATGGGTCCCTAAACAGGGGTGCCAGAAATAATTTTTCCAGGAAAAACATTGAAAGAAAAGTTCCCTTAGCTTGCATGTGAATACCAGTACTACAGTATCTCCTAGGTGTACTGTACGTCAAGCAAGCAATATATGGTTTCATGCAGCTACTTTAGGATTATACAGATGCCTTCATAAATGCATGCACATTTTTGTTTTTGTGGTAATGTCATTGTGGCTTGTAGATGATGAGTAAAAGCTGGCAAAGAGAATACATCTCTGGAATTGGCTGTAATGAGGTTTGTGCCAGACCTCCAATAGCAGGGTTGTTTGTTTCTTGGTACACTGAAACCCTACACAGTAGACTGAGACATTTTTGTGGAACATGCAGGGGTCTTTATGGTTACACGAGAAAAAGAGACACAAATGACTTAAATTCAGATGTTTGTAAGGATTTCTTGCCACTGTCATGTGAAAGGGAGAACAACTTTTAGACCTAGTGTGCTGGATTGTTTGGGTTCTTCTGATAGCATGAATAAAGGAAACCCGGCTGTTTTCAATCACAGTTAAGCTGGAAGCATTGTCTGTTTGGCACTATGCTATTGTTTAAATGACTGCAAAATAGCTAAATAATGACATCTAATCAACATCAGAAGGGAAAAGCAGGTGGGTTTTGACTTTGCTTCACTCTCTCAATTCCCATCATATCCCTTCCAGCTTAGTCATCAATAGAAGCTCATTCATCAAGTGGCAGGCAAACTACTTCATTTAGATATCAGCCATTGGCAAAACGCTTTTCCGCTGCAATGTTCAGACCTCCCTGGGGTGTTTGAAAGATGGGCTTTTGAAAGGAAGGATACAAGCAAGAAAGAGAAAGAGACAGACATAACGAGGACAAGAGAATTCTTAGTTTAAAAAAATAGATATAATCTCCCTGAGTGGTTGATTATTTTGCTTTGATTATGGTATGTCTGAAGAGACTTGCAGAGAGCTACACTACAAACAGTTTGACATTCCTCCCTAATTATGGAATTCTGGAATTCTGGATGAACAATGTACTGCGTTTGCAGGGGAACAATGGTTGTGAGGTCCTGCATTTATTTTTGCAGCGTACGCGCCTGTTACCACTTACAAGTAGTGTTTTCAAAAAACCTGGCTAACACAGGACACAGGCAGCTCTGCGGTCCTGAAACAGTCTCTCCTCTGAAATACCATTGATAATAATCCCCCCTCCACATTTGCCTTAGGGAAATATTTTTGCATTGTTTTCACAACCCTTGGTTTTGACAATTCTTATGGTTTTGGTGGTATTTGACATTATCTATCCTTTACATTCTTATGTCTGGAGTTAGGGGAATCTAACATTGTGGTTGTAATGTATACACTGTGAATTAACATGAGTGCAGAAAGTCAGAAAACAAATGGCGCAAATGGTAAAAGTTTATTTTGTGTTTGTTTGAATGTCAATGAAGGCTCAATTTAATATCCAACAAACTAGACGGAAAACCATTCCCAAAATATCTGAACTCATCAGATTACAATTTCTTTGGTCAGCGACTGATAATAAAATGGTTTTTTTCTTAAAACCTAAAGCAAGATAGATGCACAAAGCCAGGCAGATATTAGGACCAATACTTTTTCTTCTGAAATGAAGTCCTGGCCTGGCTTTATCAGAGTCGGTCATCTGTTTTACCTTGGCCTCTGTCTCTCCCCCCTCCTGAGTCAATACCTCTTACTGTGGCAGGTTAATGGATGGACCACCCTTTCACTTTCCCTCACTTCCTCTCTCTGCTGTATTTTAGCTCAGAGTGCGGAGCTAACCTCCAGGGCCCTTCCTTGACTTGGGTGTTTTACAGTTGGTCGTCTAAACCTTAAGCCCCCGTCCCATAAAACATAATGGAGTGCTTGAGCGTAAATACCAGGAGTTTGCACTTTCCCTTTAAAACCATAGCGGTGCTAGCACACTTCTAAAAGCACCTGTTGCAGATCTTTCACCTGTGCTCGCATGGGGCTTATAGATGTCTTTGGGCTTGACTAGATGACTGAGGGAGAAATAAGGAAGGAGGGGCTGTACTCGGGCCACTAGACAGGTAGGGGAGTTGCATCTGGCTTTGATGGGATAATATGTAGCCAGATACTGTAGGTGGTCTTTTGAAAAAATATGACACACTGGGGAATTTAGTTGATAGTGCCTTTTTGGGGTCATTGAGGTTCAGACCGTCCCGTCGTCCATTCCATATTTCTCCAAATCCTTCTTGTTCAAACTCTTCTCTCAGCAAAAAGCAGTCACGGCAGGATTTCTGGAATCTGAGCGTTAAAACAGTTCCAATGTGTCTTCCTTGGAAAGGAGACAAATAATCAGCAGAGTAAGATGGAAGGTTAAAGAGGAGAGTACAAGTATAGTAATAAAGGCAGAGATGAATGATGGGTTTCGGGGCTGTGGTGTTGACCGACTCGATGACAGAGGAGCTGAGGGCCCCCTCCAATTTTAAAAGTGTTCTTGGCCGTAAGACTATCATTGCAATGCCAGTTCACCCCAGCTTTCACAGTATTCTGCTCCAGACATATGTATACAAGGCACACTTATGGGCTTATGTGAATTATATATGGGTGTAAATGGATGAGGTCATAATCCCCCATTTAATATATATCAGATAAAAGCATTAACACAGCAGTTTGAGCTGCTTAGCGCACCCCTGGAGCTCCCTACCACAGATGCTCTGCATGGACACTTCAATTCAGAGAAGCTAGATTTCTGCACACACCTTACCTTTCTTTCTCTCTTTTACTCCCTAGTTCTTTCACTCATCTTTTTTCATTTATTTATTTTTTATAAAGACTGTGTATTCCCCAGGACATGTCTGAAAAGTTGTGTGGTTCAATACATGGAAAATCATGTGTTTCCCAAGTGGCTCATCTTGGTTAAAAAAAAGTTTGATGGGAAGAAAGAGTCGGGAACGGGGCTATGGGATGTGGAAATAGTTGAGGCGTGTGTGAAGGAGGCAGAGAGAGAGAACATGGTTATTGGTGAAGGGTTATTGCCGAGAAGTTTTGAGTAAGATCTGGATTGACAGATGGAACGATAGATTATTTAACACCCTCCAAATAAAATCATCTACTACCGGCGTACTGCAGTCGCAGCAAATCTTTAAAATGTTCTGAAATCAAAAACATGCACCTCATGTATGTATATGCATATTTTCTGCATTTGCTCATCAATCTATCATGTTACACTGAATAATTGAACTCATAATAGTTATATTTTGACCATAGAGAAGAACTGTTTTTATCACCCAACTTTTTCATTGCTGACTCATTCGTTCAGCATGTCCAAAAACTCTGGACAAATATCCTCTGAGGAAATAATGAAATTCCTGAAACTATTAGGAAGAGGGACCTTATATCATCTGTTCTCTCTCAGTGTCTCTCCTTAAACCCGGCCCCAGTGATTGCCCCCGGTTGCTCTCGCATACAGTAGGCTTGAAGAAAGCATGCGCTACTACACCCCCTTATTTAAAATGTGTGTTTTGAGGTGCAGCTGACTTGTGATTTGAGGCAGAGAGACCCCTACAACAAAATGTTGTTTGGATGTAATGAAAAAAAGAGATTAGAGTTAGCTTACATGTGTACATTCTTCCAGAACATCTCCAAACACCAGGGACACTGACGTTGAAACTGCTTCCTTTAGACTTCATTGGATGTACAGAATGAGACACCTTGGTTCAATGCTTACATTTAAAGTAGAAAGTAGATTCTGCAGGTCTGACATTGTAGTCTTGACGAGGTTATTATCTTATCTTTTTTAACTGCTTGTTTATGCAAATATCAATTCAGCCAATCACATGCAAGGAACTCCTGCTGTAGCCCATATGCCTCACGGTTTGACACATTTTATAACTTAACTTTTTGTCTAGGTCTAGGAGCTATGATGCAGTCATTATTTTCATGGTGCAACCAGAAAGTTAACATCTCTGGTTATATGATAATTTACACTAAATATGTGATACTACGCACATGATATTTAGACCCTTTAATTAATAAATATATGCTAGATATGCTTCAACACATCATTCAGTAAGATTCTTAGAGCCTTATAACTGAAAACGTTTTATGGTCACTTTTGTGACCCATGGGATTAAATGGGTTCACTGAACCTTAAGTGGTATCACTTACGCAGCTGCATTTCTTTTGGCAACCAAATGCTCCACTATAATTTTGCTGAAATCACAGGATGTCACATTTTATCTTCTCTACTCTGAGCTGCTAATTTTGTGGGTATATTGTCAACATTAATCATAAATTGTTCTGCATGTCAGTGAATCTTGTTGAATGGAGTTTTTTGAAAATGTGTTAAATGTCTTCTGTTAATAAAAACCTCACCCCCTTAGCTTAAACACATAATACATCTAATTAAGTCAAATCAAGTTTCATTGTGCAGTAAAACTGTACTCTACCTTACACATTTACAGCAATTCTACACATATAGAAATAGCATACTTTTAGATATTAAGCTTTACAAAGCATGAGCCTTTGAGATGTTCACTTTTATCATTATATTAACCTGAGTTCACTTAAGTGGCACACATTTGCTCTGCACTTCAAAAAACAAGGCACCATTTTTAAACTTTTGATTTGCTAAAATGTTTAAAAATGTTAACAGACAGACTTTACTGTTAATGATATACGTATATAATTGATAGAACTGAACATTGAAACGTTGCACTATTGGATTACATCTTTTGGAAAATCTTTCCAAATGTACTATAAGATATCCAAACAGTAAGGCAGTTCATTCTGCATCAACTTGGATATGATCAATCAGTTTCTATTATTTGCTAAAGCATTGTCACTGATGGTACATAACGTGCAATTGCTATACATTAAATAGCGTAAAGTACCTTCATTTATCAACTATCAATTACATTACAGTGTTTCTGTTACATGATGCAAGGTTTTATTATATCAAAAAGTACACATTACCTAAAGAAGAGTGAAATCACTTATAGTACTGGTTTTTGGGAGGAAACTCTCCTTGCAATAGGACCAGGTACAAAGGAGCATGGACGTAATTTCCACTGGGGACAGGGGGGACATGTCCCCCCCACTTTTCAAAATCCCGTTTGTTTCCCCCCCACTATTCAAATGTCTTTTTTTTTTTACGCAAGTGGTCATCGTCACAGAGAAGCGTCTGTGTGTGTGTGTGTGGCAGGAGCGCATTTTGTATGAGAGAGAGACAGAGAGAGACAGAGGAGAGACAGAGAGAGACAGAGGAGAGACAGAGAGAGACAGAGAGAGACAGAGAGAGACAGAGAGAGTTATGGGGGTTGTTGTTAGCATCTGGTGCTAGCTCGGAGCTAACGGAGATTAGAAGCTGTTTCAACAATAAGGAGAGGCTGAGATAACATCAGCTCAGGGAGGTAAAGGACTCGCTGAGTGATTATATTGTACACTTTAGTCTAAGTTATCTCAGTGGGTCTCAAACGGTTTGGTCTAAACAAATATTTCCATCTATTTAATATAGTTGTTCAAAATAAGTTAAAAAATAATTCCAATGTCAGTAAAAAATTCAAAACACAGTTTGAAAGGGGAGTGATTAGTAAAATATGCATAAATAAAAAGAAAGAATGCAGACTAGGTAAGATAAAGATAGGAGAGAGTAGTATATCAATGATGTGTTATTGGTTGTGAGCATATTCTAATGGTTTTTGGAGTATTGAAATATATACAGTTCTGTTTCATATGAGTGTTGAGAGAGCTGTATCCATAAATCTCTTAATTTGTGCATCAGATTGATGCCTTTAACTTAAATTTAAAGAAAAAAATCGTGCATGCCCCCGGACCCCCCTATAGGATGTGAGGTAATCACAAATAAAACAGGTTCATGGATAGATACGTTTGCACACTCATTATATACACTACACATTTTTCTTGGATTAGTTAACACCATAGTCCCTAATATGTAGAAAGGCAGGAAATGGAATTAAATCGAGAACAATGTTTCATTGCGGAGGACCCCCTGTTTTGTGTCCCCCACCACTTCTCAAACCAAAGTTACACCCTTGCAAAGGAGCATGCTGTTTTAGCCTCAGTGTTTTCACATTACATGTTCTTATCTAAACACATACAAAATACCAAATATTAGGCAGGCAAGTGGGTCACACAAATTAGGTCAAAACACACATCGCACACAGCGCACACAGCGCACATCATTTTTGGGGCTAATGCCGTGTTTTTGTTACTGGTAAACTCCTGTGTATCCATTGTGTATTTAAAGTCAAAGAAAATGAATAAACTATCACTTTAGCATATGAAACAGATCATTTAGTAATCAGATAGGATCAAGCTTGCTCAGCTGCTCTGCCAGGACCACCAGAAAGGCTCTTAGGGAGGAACTTATTTGATGAGTTCATAAAATGAGTGACAGTTTCACTGCTGGAAAGATATTTCATTGTGTTGAATGATTGCAGTCATTAGAGCTGCAGTTATCTTCCCCAGGGCAGAGACAACATATTATGGAGAGGGAGACGTCAGAATATCTGAACAAATACATAAAGTGTCAGGCTGACTTAACTGAGTCAGACTGATCTGAGATGATACTGTATCAGAAAACGTTATATCATTCCTGCATTTACGGTAGATTTGTTTTCATGGCAGCAGTATCACCTTCCTAATATGCAGTACAATACATGTTTCTGTTCATTTAAGGCTGGTGTTAAGAGTTGAATACATGACATCATAAATAAGCCAGGCATGAACCATTCACTGTCCATTTCCATCAGTAGTCCATTCAAGTAGAATATAAAAGGGTCAGCCTTTAAAACCATGAAAAACATAAATAACAAAAATATGTTTTCTTTGTCCCACTGATACAGTCTTATTCCCACCAGCACCTGTTTGATATCTATGTGGGTTGCCATTACATCTCGTACACTTTGTTGAAATAAAGTAAAGGACACCCATGACGTGTGCTGTTTATCCACGATTCAATGTCTCCCAACACAAAACATCGAACATCATAGACATAAATAACATTGTGGTTTGGCATTTTGTGTTTCCACAAAAACGCCACTCTCCAAGAGATATACTATACATATAGTTTGGGCTATTATACTTTTTATTTGCTTATAGCACCTCTCAGAAAACACATTTCCCAGCATGGTCTGTAATCCCCCTTTTCAAGTAAATCAAGGTACTAAATTAGCAGCGAATACAATGCAATTTAATGGATTGACCAACAAATATATGATTGGTCAGAATGAATACCATCCCTATTCACAGTACAGACCTGCAGTGCCAATCAGTGTGCCAAAACCTCTAAACAAGACATTACCAACAATCTATTTGTTATGTCCAAGTGAAAACATACTTCAGGCCCCCTTAGGGAGAGCAAGGCGATTCACTTTGACATATTGGTTTAACACCTACTGTTTGCAACCTCACACGGTCAATTATTCCTCTTATCCCTACAAACTTTCATTTTAATGACCATGGCAATGGCCAATACACACTAAGTAAATACTTACAATTGACAGAGACCTATTTCTGGGTTCTATCTTCTTGAAAGATAACTTTTGACTAAAAAATAATTGCTATTTGTATAACTTTGTCTTGGTTATGTCTGCATCTACTGTGAAAAGACTACTCTCATTGTAGAGCCATTAAAACTCACCTCTTCAATCTGGCTTTTAATGTGTGATTGTTTTTGTATTATTTGACTTTAACTTTAACTATATATTTATTTGTTGTTCCTTTCTTTTCTTTTCACTATATCTGTAAAGCGTCTTTGAGCACCTGTAAAAGCGCTAACAAAATAAATCTATTATTATTATTATTATTATTATTAACTTATTGTGAAATACTTTGTTTGCTTTTAATCTTCCAGAGCCTATTTGGATGTGAAAGAGGTGAAAGAGATTCTGAACTTGGATGGCTCGACTCACCTGAATGTCTTCTTTGCCAATTCTTCTGATGAAGATCTGGTGGGGGTTGCCACTTGGCCATGGGACAAAGAGGCCCTCACACATTTGGGTAGAATACAAACAACAACACAAACATATGTGCACGCACACACGTCCTCTCTTTGGCAACCTAGATAGTTGATTTTGAGTAATTACAGTTCAAGCCCCAAGCAGTTTTTCTCTTAATCACAGCTCCAACAGAGAAGAATGTGATAACGAAGCTGAGGTTGCACATTAATAATGCATTGAATCTTACTCCAGTTATACTATTACTTTACACTACACTAGTGAGTAAATGCATTGTTTACATCGTGTGTCCTTTCTCTTTTTCTTAGGTGGAATTGTGCTGAACCCTTCCTTCTATGGTACGTTTGGTCACACTGACACAATGGTCCATGAGATCGGTCACAGTCTTGGGCTTTATCACGTCTTCCGAGGTATATCAGAAATCGATTCGTGTAATGATGCGTGTTTGGAGACGGAGCCCTCGATGGAGACTGGAGATCTGTGTGCGGACACCAACCCCACCCCCAAATTCAAAGGGTGCCACGATCCTGAGCCTGGCAACGAAACATGTGGCGGTCGGCATTTCACGCACACGCCTTTTAACAACTACATGAGTTATGCAGGTAAGAGAGAGCCTCCACATAATGTTTTGTTACTTATCCAGGCAAAACATTACAGTTATACCGCTCACATGCAACTGACACAGAGGGATCACCGTGGAGGAATTTGTTGAGTCTGTGTGCATACAGAGACAGGTGTGGAATTTAGCAGGGACATCTCATGGGAAAAACGCAGCGGGGGGCACACCTTTTATGTGCAAGAGTTAAAACATGATTTTGTTGTCACAGTTAACTGGGAAAAACAAAACTGCTACATATGACCAGGTGGTTTATTTTATTCATTGGATCTAGACAAGTGGAATGATTTAACACTTACTTCCTTTTGCTGTCTCTGATCAAACCAAAATACACTTTCCACCTCTTACACTAACCACCTCCTTCTGTCACCTGCAGATGATGCTTGTACAGACTCCTTCACCCTGAACCAGGTGGCTAGGATGCACTGCTACCTGGACCTCATCTATCAGACCTGGCAACCTGCCTCCAAACCTCCTCCAGTGCCAATGCCACCCCAAGTGGTGGAGCAGCATCATAATTCCATCACCCTGGAATGGTTTCCACCGATTTCTGGACACTTTTACGACAGGTGAAATGAGCTACATAGGTTGCCAAACAGATGCGGGTGTGTATGGTAATAAAGTTGACCCAGATGAATTACATTATTGATTATTGTTTGAGTTCATATAACAAGTAGTGAAATGTAATGCTCAATTCATCGTTTACAGACTCAGACATCTAAAATGTAGCCAAGTAATTATAGCACCATTTTAAAACTTTGTCACATGATTTGACATTACTGTATGTTTAATATACTGTTTACAATTTGGGTGTTTGGCCTGTATCTAAGTTGGTTGCTGTGCCTGTCTGTTGGTTTCCTAGAGATGTGGGATCAGTGTGTGATAAATGCACTGAGGGGAGAGTCCTCCTGCAGTATGCCTCCAACTCCTCCTCCCCACGACCGTGCGCCCCTTCTGGACACTGGTCTCCACGAGAGGCTGAAGGTACTGTACGATTCTATGTACTAATATTAGTGATTGCTTCTAGGTCTCCATTATAAATAGCTGTGTTTTTTTTAATCATAATTAACTGTTCCTACTCAAAGCAAATTTATAACATAAAGAAAAGCCACATCCACATTTAATTCAGAGTTTTCAGTATGACAATGTAATTTGAGGTTTGCCTTTGTTGAATATTTGTAAATCAGTACCTAAAAAATTGGGTACTGACTCAACTTTAAAACATGACTCACTGGATTCATGGCAACATAAAACATGAAAGAATCAAAGAGGCCACTTCTCTGCATGTGACCTTATGCAGCTATTGTTGTCGCATATAATACACATTAGACACTTTGCCACACAAGCGCAAATGTGTATCATGTTGAAACTAATTGTATGAACCTGTGCTAATTTTTTTGTGGATATTTGAAACTAGAATAACAAGTGGTTAAATTCGGTTAGATGATATGTACAACTGAATGATAAATATTTGTAATTAGTAGTCCAATACCTATAAATGGCAAAATAGTTGGAATCTAACTGGTCAAAATTAAAGATATCTACATTTGAGTTTTTACTAATCAAAATATAATTATAGAATTACATCACTAACTTCACAAATTGATGTTGCAAATACCAGTAATGAATGTACTGTCTGGCTAATACATATCAAAACAGCTTACCATAACAGTGTGTGTAGCAAGGGCAAGTCTGGGCTTGTCTAAAACGCTCTGTGTGTAAACCAACTATACTCTATTTTCCCTCTTGGAAGGGGTCCCTGTTTTTAGGCAGCTCCCGATTCTCTGTTAACTGTGCCTGCGCCAGCTTCTCACTGGATAACACAGCTGCCGTTTCAAGCTGTGATGGTGCATATTACTTACTTCCAATAACATACTGTAAATCAAGGTATTAGCTTATTTACTATTTGCATAACATCCTGATAAGTGTGTTAACTTATGCACTTGTGTAACTGTATACGTGTGTCTACACTACATGCATTAATCAGCATTATTGCATACAAATAGCACCTATTATCGAAGGACTGGCGGTGTTCTCATAAATCTCTGCTACTCTATACTCTGGAGAAAAGTTTCTAAAGGAAAAAAAACAAGAATGAACACACATGGATATGGATTCAGGGAGAGGGTAAGAGAGGGTTGGTGGGGTGGAAACCACCCAAGATAGTTAAGATAATTGCATGTGGTAAGTGACATTCAAAAGGGAGGATCCTTGGTTGATTGAAAACAGCAGTATGGATTAATGGAAGTGAAAGGTCCAGGATGTTTATGTTCCCCAACATGTGTGTGGGCATTTGAGGTGTGCAAAAGGAGGTCTGCGTTCTACTGTATATATTACATTTGCAATACATACAATGTACAAAAACGCATTTGCAATAGAATGTACAAAATGTTTGCTTTTGTGTAAGTGTGTATGAATTAACTCAATGAGCCATAACAGAAAGCATATGTGTCACTTTATGGTCAGATCCAAGGTTTTATTAGAAGCCGTCTCTAAAAGAAACAAAGTCTCAGGGCTTGCTGGTTTACATCATGCCATGCAAGGTTTATCTGCTTGACTTCTCAAGATCAGAGGGATCAAACAATATGATCCATTGGTGTATCACATAATTAGCTCCAACAAAACACAACTCAAGTGCCCTTAGAGAGGGCAAAGGTTGTCCTTTTACCTGTCAAATCAACACTAGCCACAAGTGCAATGTAGCTGTTTGAGTATTTATTTTGTTATAACATTTACACCTCGGTTAAAAAATAAACGAAATTGTGCGCAGAGAAAATAACAAATGTCCTTTTAAAAAATCTGCATAGTTTTATCTTGCCTGGGGCTAACACTTTACACAACATAAAACACTTTCGGCAAATTGACCCTCTCTACACCTCACATTAAAATCAATCTCGTATCTAGATTGTATCTCCGATAACATTTACACCCGGTATTAATGGTTTCCATAGAGACCCAGCTGAGATCTGATCTCCATGTCCAGCTCAAACAACCAAATCTCACATCCCCCTCTCGTTTGCACGCTAAGCATGAAGAGTACTGTTTATATAATTGCTTTGATTTACCAGTCATTGCCATGACTATAGGACGTGTGAAAGGAAAGGAAAGTGATCTTGAGCTTTTTGGATGAAGACTGGTTGTCAAACTTGCCTCATTTCTTATTTCCAGAACACTGCAACTAGTTATCCAGAAGAGAAACACTTGCACAAGGTGGTTTTGGCGATCTGATTACAATCTGGCCCTAATGTATTTTTCATGCATTAAGACGATTAAGACCTGTACTTTGATGTGGTCAAGCACCAATAGATTACAATCTGAACACCAAAAATGCATTAAATACCCTTTTTAAATGGGTAAATCCATTCTTAATCGTAAGATTCTTTATCTTTAGTTTCTTAGTTTCCCTGTTAAGCCCCAAAGACCCCGTTGGCGGGTCATTTTTTTTTTTTTTACGACACTGTGTCTCAGGGCTTCTTAATATTTAAAAAAAACTATGAATGTGTCATACCCTCCTAACGGGAATAAACTCAGCTAACTGATGATATGAACTATTTTTACCGAAACAAAACACAAGTCTCACAAGAAGGGTCTAAATGAGCCCTGAGCGATGCACTTAGCACTAAACTCGAACTCGATATAAATCGATCGATATACTTATTGGATCCGCACAAGCAAGCTTAGCTAACATCCTGAGATTCCACAGATTATAGAAATATAAATATCATCACTGAGCAATCAGAACTCGCGACAGGGTAAGCAAATACAGACAACACACAACGTAGCTTTAGGTAGCAAAGCACGGAGATATGCTCACCTTTAGCTGTTATTCTGATCAAAAGTTATGTTCAATGGCATTAAAACGAGAAAAAATGCGGCTGAAGGTTGATCCATATGTCAATCCAATGTGTCTCACTTTGAAAAAAAAAAGATTATTCATTTTCCCCTTTTAGAAGTGTAGTTATGGTCATTTGTTCTGGGAATGTCATTTTCGAGCCTGAGACATGGAAAACAGGCTCGGGGCTTAGGCTAATTGTTTACTTTTATTGAAGAAAACATCTTAAGTACTGTATGTCACTGTACTGTATGTTCATTTACAGCTTCTGTAGCTCGTCTTTTAATATTTTGTCAGTCAAAATGATAATTTACTCAAAGTGTAAAAGTCAACACATAATACAGATGTAAACAGCTGTGAAGGATTAACCTCTGAAATACCCTTAAAGAGCAACTTGCAGGTTTTTTTTTTTTTGCTTAACATTGACTGAAAATTACAATTAAAAAAAGTTATTGCAGGATTTGATATGTTTTACGAGACATAAGGGCAGGAATTCAGAGGGGAAAGGAGCCGTTTTGAGCTCTGCTACTAAAAACTGCTTTTTGTTAACGTCATACGTCAAACGCGTCATATTACGTCACATGGTGGAGCAACTTTCTCTGACTCCTTCTCTGCGATCCGCGGTAGTAGTTTGTAGTTGGTTTGAGCGGTTGCATTTAGTGAGCTGGTATTTTTTCGGTAATTTTACATTGCATTTCACCATTTTTAATCATGGTGAGGCACTGTCAACAGCGGTAATTAAAGTTTAAAAGTCTCAAAAATGCTACAACTACTGTCACAAACTGGATGAATGTGAAGTATTTTGTTAAAGGAGGATGAAAGCGTAATTAAGGAGCACTATTGGAGTGACTTTGATGGTTATTGGACTCAGGATTAATTAATTTGGATTCCCGCTGTATGAAGAAATTAAAGGACGGCACAAGTGGAAACAATTCACAAAGGGATGAAACTGTTTAAAACACATGCTCAAAGTAAGCCGGATTTTGCCGATGTGTTTATGTGGATTCAAAAGTCGTAAATATCTACAAAATGGAGGAGACAGATCTGATCGGAGCAACTGTGACGATCAGTTGGATTATTTGTCACAGTTGCTCCGATCAGATCGGTCTCCTCCATTTTGTAGATTATTTACGACTTTTGAATCCACATAAACACATCGGCAAAATCCGGCAAAGTGACAAAAACTGTATTTGAACTGACACTCAAAGAGCAAAACATCGGCTCAAATCTCTAAAACTCTAAACACGTTTTCAGCTTTTCACACAATTTTCAAATCAACATGACACTTTGTGCAAACCACTGCACACGTTTCTCCACGTAAGACACAGGAATCTGACATAAAGTCACGTGTTAGCAGGTTTAAAACACAGATATTCAAAATGCCTCACACATGGACCAATGATCAAGAAACACGTTCCACCTGACCAAACACCTGATAGCATAATTGTTGGCGCATCAATCAGGATGTTAGCACTATGAAAAGACCACAGGTGAGTACTTTCTTACAGCAACAATGGAAGCCAACATGGAAGCAAGAGTAAGAGGAGAGGAGGAGGAAGAGTACTCTCTAATGAAATGAAATAGTCACGTAATGGGCCAAGTTAACATTTATTAAAATACATCAATATGAACGTGAGCATTCCTTTGCTAGAACAGTGATAATAAAACAATGCTCCATAAGTCTGTGATCAAAAAAATAAATACATAATACAATTGTGCAATCCCTTTGCTAGAACAATAAGTTATAATACTTTGCCACTTTGCAATCTGTGCAAAAAAATGAAAAGAAAAGAAAGAAAATGCTGATATTTTGCAAAAAAGTGTGTCTTATCAGCATTAGTGGCTGCAATGAGCCTGTTCTGCACTGCACATTTCTTCAAAACGGGGTTGCAGGCTCAGTGGCGGCGCCAGAGATTTCTTTTGGGGGTGCTGTGGGGTAGCTTGACGTTTCATAGAGGGTGCTCAATCATTTAGGGTTTCCCATTAATGTACCGGGCGCTACAGTGGAATTTTCGACGGCAACACTCCCCACGAAAATACACAGTGTAGCCTACCCGCGACTTACAATGAAGGCTCTTTTAATCAGCTCATATCATATAGGTGTAAGCAGGGGTAAAGTGTTATTTTTATAAGTTGGGAGTGGACCTAACATAGGGGGGTCCGGGGGCATGCTCCCCCGGGAAGATTTACTTTTTTTTTTTAAATATTGAAGTTAAAAGCATCAATCTGGTGCACTTTGAGAGCAAAATGAAGAGATCTATGGATACATCTCTCAACACCCATATGAAACAGAACTGTAAACAGATTTACTATTTCTTTATGGATATTTTACAAATCACTCCCCTTTTAAACTTTATTCTTTTTTTACTGTCATACAGTATAGTATTTCATACCTGTTTTTCATTTATTCTCTTATTTTCTTATAACTATAATGATCATAAACGTGTGCCTCGGAAATAATTGTTTACATTAATCGTGACCAAAACGTTTGAGACCCGGCCACTGAGATAACTTAGACTAAAGTTAACTATCTAAACACTCAGAGTCCTTTAGTTCACTGAGCCTCTCAGCCTTGTTGTTGAAAAAGCTCCTTTTATCTGTTAGCGTAGCTCGCTAGCACCAAAAGCTAACAACAACGATCTCCGGTACCAGTGCGCTCTCTCTCTCTCTCTCTCTCTCTCTCTCTCTCTCTCTCTCTCTCTCTCTCTCTCTCTCTCTCTCTCTCTCTCTCTCTCTCTCTCTCGCTCGCACACGCACACAAAATGGCTCGTTCCACACACACACAGAGCAGAGCTTGTATGAAACACAGAGACCCAGACGTACTCGTACTATATCATCTTATTTTCGAATCAATAATTTTTCAAATTATGATTTTTAATTAAAAAAAAAGTTTCTTCCTGGTCTCTCGCACCCTCCCTGTCATGCCTCTGCGCCCCCCCACTTTGAGAAACACTGCTGTAGTGTCTGTTCCAGGTCTGTTCCCTTCATAAATTGTGTGTGTATGTGTGTGTGTGTCTCTCAGTGTGTGTGTTTCAGGGCAAAAGGGTTAGTGGTGGTTGATGTCTGCCTTTGGAGTGGGAGTAACAGTGTGTGACAGTGAGTCATCGATAGTGAGAGCCAGAGCCAGAGATTTCTTAGAAAGCACAAAGCTTGCATGCCCGGACATGTCCCTGTCTGTTTATTCATTCGGTTCCCTGGACTTTTTGTGGAACAGTGTGATTCTCCAGAGCAGAAGGATGATGGCTGCATAGTGGGCAGGCACCAGCATCCAACCTGGAGATATCTTGGCCAACTATAGTAATTTTTTGTTAAAGCGTCACAAACATTGATTAGCCTATAGCTTCAGTATTATTTATGTACCTCTGCATGGAAAAGATCAAGCTTTGGTAGTTAGCATAGTTGGTGGTTATGGAATTCCTCGTTTTCGGATGATAACTCAATAAACGCCATAATTGTTAAGTACATCATTGTCAATTCAGTTAACAGTAGATGTTAACATTAAAATAAGTGTTTACCCTAAGAAAAAGTCTCATTATAACCCCCATGGCCCTCTGCCCACATCAGCCATAATCCCACTGAAGTTCTGACAATGAACAAGATGAAGGAATGCCATTATTGCTAACCAATATGTTAAACCCCTAAAAGAAAAAAATGTCAAGGATGAAAACAAAGCTCATTCCAAAATTAGGCGTTCATTCATTTGAACAAGGTGACATTGGATGAGTAGCAGTGAAAACAAATCAAAGCATCAGGATTGTTCGGCAAAGATTTTGAAACCGACTGAACTTTAGAAAAAAAACAAGCCTGCAATCATTTCAACTCAAATTCAAATAGCCTATACAGAGCTTATATTGGCATGACCATAATGACATACAGTATGGACATTATAGTTGTTCTACTCTCTATGTGTAGGCAATATGACGCACACCAACCAGCTGATTTTCCACAATTCAGTTGAACTCATTGTACTCCTACTGACTGATACAGTGAGCTGCATTTCTATGAAGGATACCAATACTGATCCTCTGAATTCCAACGAGATGTAACATTGTCCATCTCTCTTTTCCAAGAATGGTTGTATTTGTCATCAGACCAATACCTAGATGGGATCAGCTAATCAACAGAAAAATGTGTGGCTTATTTTCAAAGCTTATGTCTGGATGGTTCAGTCTCTCTGGGGCCCCCTCTCCCTGTACTAAGGGACTTATGGATCAAACACTTCAGAGCTGAGCTGTTTATGTAGCAGTAAGCAGCTGATATTATTTTTTCGGGCAGTCTGCTGCTGTGATTCTAAGTTGATTGAAACATTAACATTTAATATAGCATTTATCTTTTTATTAGGAGTTTTCATGATCTGTTGAAGGTGTCCAACTACAAATGATAATTATTGATAGCGTATTGTGGTTTGGATTAAAATCTCTTTGCCTCCACACATTTTTCTACCAATCATAGATACATTTTTGCATCTTTGAAATACAGTTTACATTGCCTCAGGTTACACATTGGATGAGACTCTTACTCTGTCTCCTCTTAAATCTCAAACCACATTAGCAACAGCGCCAGAGCAGGAGTAGGGCCCATCATAACAACTGACATTACAAAATATTTTCAGTGGCTCCAGCTCCTTTCCTTGCAAACTCAATGCAAATGTACCCAGAAAGCCAGGACTACATAAGCCCAGCAAAGCCAAGCTCTTGGAGTATTTTAGGTTATTCTCCCTCCCTCCCTTTCTCTTTCTCTCTGTCTCGCTTTCTCTTTTCTTTAATTCACCTCCACTCTGGCCACACACACACTTACAGTAAAATAATAAATGTGTTGAGATAATGTGGCTTGGAAACGATATTCAGTCCTCACTTGATTAAACACTGGAATTTTGCATGGTGCCCAGAAATGAGGTTAGCAAATGGCTTCGTTGGTTGCCAGCTTGGAAATGCACAAAAGGAAATCTAGGGAGAACATAGTGTCTGCTACTTGCTGGCTTCTAAAAGTGCTTGATGAATGTTAGTGTACGTCACTTGGGATAATGCAAGTTAACTGTGTGTGGACTCCAAATATGGCTGGAGTGTGACTTTTAGAGGTTGTAATGACTATGCTGAAGTGAGAACCCTGCACAGGCCCCTCTTAGAAGGTACACACCTCAGCTCTGCCTTTCCTCTGCAAATGGACTCACAATGAACTCTCAGTTTCACCTCTACCATGATGTTGCAATAATTGTGTACACTACAAGGATCACTGATGAAAATAATTAATATGTCAGCACAAAAATTGCTATTATGATTGAGATGTTTCAGTAGAGAATTCAAAGATGTCTTTTGAGTATTTATTTTAACGCCTGTAGCATATCATATTTATTTTCATGTCTAATCTAAAAGTAATTCAGTGTGTTAACGTAGGAAATGGCCTGGTGACTTTTGCCTATTGTGTCTGGTTTATGTTAAATGTCATTTTGTTTTGTCTGTCTTGTATCCACAGGCCCTCCAGATGTGGAGCAGGCCTGTGAGCCAAGTGTGCGCACCTGGAGCCCAAATGCAGGGACTGAGCAAGGTATTGTGGGCCTGTCAGAGTGTCCTCTCCAGGGCTGCATGCTTCAGCTGGAGTTCCCCTACCCGCTGGTACCTGACTCCCTGACTGTATGGGTCACCTTCTTTAGCCCAGAGGAAACAGCACTGCCAGCTATCCATAACATCTTGCTCCTGACCGTCAGTGGGAACAACATTTCATTGGGCCCCAGTAATGTCTTCTGTGACACCCCATTGACTCTGAAGCTGGACATAGAGGATGAAGTGTATGGGGTACAGTTTTTCACCATGGAACAACACCTAGAGATCGATGCCACTCTCTTGTCATCCAAGCCAGACTTCAGACTCTGCAGGCATTGCCGACCTCTACGCTACCGCCTATTGCGTCAACCACCTTTCACACATGCACCACACGGTCTGATGTTGAATGAACCTATCCGTCGATATATAGACAGGTGAGTAACCCGGTAGGTGAATACTTTTGTATGACTGATCTACATATGTCTGACAATCCTGAGTTAAGAAAACTCTGGTCTTTCTCAAGGTTTGAAAAAGACCTCCCTTTTCTCCTAGAAGAGGGTTGAAGCCACACGATACATTAGCCATGCTTTTGTATTTTCTTTTAGAAGTTGAGAGAAAAGCTGATTGCTTACCATTTAGCTTCCTGCTTCAATGTGAAGTCATCAGGGTTTTTAGGCCATGCAAGAAGGTGTTCTTTTTTTGTCTGTGGAAACTATGTACACAAATATGTTCTTGTTATACCAGATATCCTTTGCAATACCCCCAGGAGCACTAGCCAGCCACCAGTTATTTTGCAGTTTCAAATCTACTGCCTAACATTTGTTTCCTAAGTCACAGGTCAGATGTTGCCCACATTTGTTTTTTCCAATGTTCCATGAAGCAAGGGCAAACAGATGTCTTGTTAAAGGTATTATCTGCACACTGTGGTGAGAGTTTAGTGCTTTGCTTTTATGGAATGTGCTGACATGATAAATATTGTGCTATACATGGCACTGCTGCTTGTTGTGCCATCTCACTATCGTGCTGTCATTGTAGTTCACATGAGAAGGAAAGTGCTTGATAAGAGGCCAAATGGTGAGCATGCATGTTATGCAAGATGGACTGATGATATCTAAGTTCCACAAAGTGTCCGTGCACAAATTCCTGGTTGAATGGCTGTGTCTGGGGAAGGCTGTCCGCAGTACGGATGAATGTATTTGGGGGTTTTGGCACACTTCAGTGATTATTGATGTGCTGTAGGTAGTTTCACTGCTGTGGTGTCTTTCACTAGCTGCGGTTGCATTCCAGTGGTGGTGGTCAGTGGCGCTGGCTGACTATCCTTGTTGTGAGAGCATAATGATCTTGTCTCTGTTAAATGGTCAGATAAGTTTTATAGAAAGTTTATATGTTACAGCCATCAGAGTCTTTAATTCATGAAGTAATTAAAAACGGTATGCAGTCTTTATTAAACACAAGTCTTTCCTAAAAACTGTTATACATTTTTAAATAATAATAAAAAAAACTTTATAAGGAGATAAAAACAATTGAGAGCATTTGCATTTCTCTAAGAATGTACAGTATAACCATAGCATGCACATTAGCGTTATTTACTTAATATGGAAATCTTTTGTGAGTAAACCATTATGTTCTTATGTCTGTTTGCCTGTCATGAGACTACTCAAACTAAGTAAGTGAAATTAAATTAAGTTAAAGTGCGAAAGTACTAATGTTGCATTCTTCAACAAACTAATAATTATAAAAGAAAGATACGCACAACAGGAGACCAAGACTCATACAAGAGAAGTCTGTCAGTGATGTTTTCTGGGATGTCATTTTGACGGCTATGATAATGCCCCATCTCCCTCACTGTCTTACAATAAACATAGCCTTTGACATGGTGGAGTATAAGAGCAAAGTTCACTCAGATGTTTTTGGCATGCCACAAATCCAATGTGAAGTACTGTGTTTGATTGCCTTTGTGCATCTGCTGAACTGCTTTGGTTGACCACACAGTAAGCTGCTTCTTCTTGCAACATGTTTCTATGGGCTATGGAGGTTTTGGGTGAGGGGGTTGATTGACCTCCCACTGTCAGGCCGCTGGCCTTCACCTGAGCTTGCGCAAACTGATCAAGAGGATAACTGACATATTGTCTCCATCCATGGGTGGTGGTTAGTTTGGAATGGCTAAGGGCCGGGAGGTCAGCGTGACAGAGTAAATTATGGTATGGAGTAACAAGGGTCAAGTGAAGAGGAGACGCAGGGATGGAAAGCTGTACCAGTTGGGGGTAAATCATCGCTAGGATTAAGGGGGGGGAAGGTGATTGAGGAGAACATTAGGGGGTCGAGAAAGTGAAGAGAGAGGGTAGGAGGATTGGGTTAGTTTGACCCCATCCCTCTGAAGCACCCCAGCCCATCAGCTAATCCTCCTCCTGATGTGGGTTTCAGAGCTGTCATTCAGTCAAAGCCTATCTGAGCTCATGTGAAGAGACCTCCCTGCCAAAAGAGTTAGGGCAGCTCCCCCAGCATCATTACTACCCCACACCCCCTCTGTAATCTGACTCTACCCTGGTCTGCACAAATCTTCCACATTATACCCCCCATCCTTCCTTAGCTAAGCTATTTGGCGCTGGTTGGAAAGTCAATATCCCGCCTTAAAAAAAATGGTGTTGAAAAAAGAACAAAAGAACCGTTGTTTTCACAATACTTCAGTTTTTTGTGCTATAATTTGTTAGGGAAATAAAGTTGATACAATTACAAAATAAACATAGGTAGTTTCTAAGACAATGTTGGTTAATTGGCAATGCAAATAACAAGCATACATTCGAGATGTGCGACCTTATTGATTTTGAATTTGATATAACTATACAAAATGTTGGTTAAATTGAAATCAATAGTTTAAATAAACTATGAATAATTTGGCAACACTTTTTATTCCCTCTCATCACTCATTAATTTGAACTTTTAACAGTTTCTTCTCTTCATAACCAGCTGACCCCCCTTAGCCTTCTTTATAGGATGTTCAACATTAGAAATAATCCTCCTAATATGAACCATATTCATGAGTTGCAGACAGAGTGAACAGTGTAGTCCTTGTGGGGAGTCATGGGATGTCTGGTGCACTCAACAGAATTTCTCCAGCAGACAAATCATATAGGAATGTAATTGGTGCTACTATGGGTTTGCAGGTTTATGGTGTGGATGTTCAAGAACATAATTGAATTTCTTGGACACAGGCTGCACTGGTAATTATTGTCCTTTTCATGTAAAGATAAACAAATGCAACACCTTAGCTGCAATTTAGGCAATTAGCAGACATAAAGCAGTCCGATTTAATATTAACAACAAACTTCACATTCGTAGAATTTGTGGGTCTGCACGTTGTCATTTTCTTTTTTAAAGTACCTCTTTAAGGCCAAAACTTGTATCATTAGTTTGTTAGACATACCAAAGGTGTCAAATGAATCGCAGTAAAACCTCTAACGTATGTCAGTTGCTTCACTGACAAAATAAACATTGCCCCGTTTGTTGTTCTTGCAGGCTCAATATTTTCTCAACTTACTTACATTTACCTACTTTTCTCATCTGGGATCTCTCAGCCAAGAACAATAAGCAGCTACAGAACGGAAACACATCCATATGCATGCTCACACATAAGTCTAGTGCACACAGCAGTAGAGTCAGGAACACACACATAGATGAACACAGACACACACCAACACTCTTCTTGCTCTCAATAGCAGGCACACATGCACACATGGACACACATGCTTGCTTCCATGTGTAATCACCTGGTGCTATCAAAACACCTTTGAAAAGCATATTACAGTGCCTTGTGTGCCTGACTTTGAGCGGGAGCCAAGATAAAACCTCTATTCTTTCATGGGTCTCGGGAAGAATGTCTGGATGCACAAAGATGAACCAGTGATGAAATCTTATCACGTGACACCTTGTCTGAGACTGCAGTAAAGTCCTTTGTAGTATGAGTTACATCTCACATCAGTTACATAAGTGCTGCGTACCTGGACTCACATTCAGGTTCAGGTCCGGACTCAAGTCCAGAGGTTCAGGTTCAGGTCCGGACTTATAAGTCCGGACCTGAACCCATGGCTTGTGTCAAGTTGTGTGAGTAACTAAAGTGAACTTATTGTGAGCTAATTATCAATTGAAAATGAACTCATAATCAACTCAAATTCAAACTCGTCATGTTTATTGTGCTCCCTTCCAACTTGTGTCTACATTTCTCTACAAAGTACAAATGTAAAAAAAACACTTATGACAGCAACTACAGTGAACTACTACAAAGTTCAAACATTTATTTCATTTACCAAACTAAAGTAACCAAACAGTCCCTGAGCTGACTGAGCCTAAATCCCTAAAACGTTGCTGAAAGGTAGAGTGTAGAGTAGACTATACGCATTACACTGTTACACACCTACTATACAGTATACTGTAGTGCCGAGAGATATGGAGTCAGAGGCGGTGCAAGGAAGGTGCAAGAATAGTGATTTATTCACAAGCTGCAAAGGACATGTTGTCGGGTCGCAGCCCGGGTCGACAAGAAGAGAGAGCCAAGAGGGTACACACTATTTATAGGTAACCCATAACATGTCCGTGTGGGAACAATAACCGCAACTGTAGTTCCAAGTTTGAATTATGTCCCAGTGGTTAAATAGGTGGTCACCACACAAGCCCCCCCAGAATTCAAACATGGCAAAAAAATATTTATCCCCACGTCCGTGGAGGAAGCACCACAAGGGCCGAGGAGGGTGGGGCCGCAGGTGAGGACCGGGCCACGAAAGGGGAGCGCAGGGGCCCTAACGAGGGCGAGGGCACCCACACCGGGGGCGGGGCGTCGTAAGGGGGCCGCAGTAGGTGTCGCGGAGAACCCAGCAGGAAAGAGCGCAACCCGGCCGCAGGCAGACGCACAACGGCGGTGGGCACGAAGTCCTCGGCAGGCGTCGAGGTATCCCCGGAAGAGAGGAGCAGTCCCCCCGGGAGGAAGGAGCTCAACCCGGCCGCAGGCAGACGTGCAACGGCGGCGGGCACGAAGTCCTCGGCAGGTATCGAGGTATCCCCGGGAAGCAGGAGAGCAACCCGGCCGCAGGCAGACGTGCCGCGGCGGCGGGCATGAAGTCCTCAGCAGGCGCTGAGGCATCCCCGGGAAGCAGGAGAGGCCAGACAGGGTCCCGGAGCGCGCCACCCACGGGCCGATGGAGCATGGGCGACGTCCGGAACTGTCGAGGCGAGAGGGGGTCCAGGAGTGCGCCACCCAGGCGCCGATGAACGTGAGTGGCGTCTGGATATCCCCGGAAGGCAGGAGAGGCCAGACAGGCTCCGGAGCGCGCCACCCACGGGCCGATGGCAGCATGGGCGACGTCCAAAACCGCCGAGGCGAGACGGGGTCCAGGAGTGCACCACCCAGGCGTCGATGAAAACGTGAGTGGCGTCTGGAACCACCGTGGAGGTGGTGTAAAATGTGAGAGTGTCCACATGAGGTCAACCGGCTGGTCGAACCTCCTCTCCGGCACCAGAAAGAAGAAAAAAAAACTCAAAAGGGCTGATAGCCGTTAGCACTAGCCGTCGTTAGCCCCACGTGGTTAGCAGCCGGGACGTGCAGCCGCACGCCCCGAAGAACAAACCCACGAGGTAGCAATGGGGTTGCTGGTCGACCCAGCAGGTCGTGCATAGTCCCCCCGTTGGATAGAAAGCCGATGCGGGAACGGCGAGCAACGTCTCCAGCCTTCTTCGGAGCGCGCACCGAGCCTCAGTCCGCGTGCCGGTGGCAGCCACGGACGTCTCCAATCAAACCCCGGCATTTCGAGAAAGGAACTCGAGTTCCTTTTGCCGTGTTCGGCTCCGTCCCGGAAACTTCTCAAGACGTATCAGGGTCACCAGTGTAGTGCCGAGAGATATGGAGTCAGAGGCGGTGCAAGGAAGGTGCAAGAATAGTGATTTATTCACAAGCTGCAAAGGACATGTTGTCGGGTCGCAGCCCGGGTCGACAAGAAGAGAGAGCCAAGAGGGCACACACTATTTAAAGGTAACCCATAACATGTCCGTGTGGGAACAATAACCGCAACTGTAGTTCCAAATTTGAATGATGTCCCAGTGGTTAAATAGGTGGTCACCACAATACACTGTAGTGACTGTACAGTCAGAGTGTACTGTAGGCTACTGTCTGTACACCATGTATTTTCTACAACTCTACATGTGTACATTATACAGTACATACTACATACATAGTGATGTACATACATACAGAAATTAAAATCAATGTTGATATGGCGTAATTTTGAATTAAATACACTATTTAATTTAAATCAGTTTTATTCTGAAAAAACCGGAAGTTCACACTATTAATTTAATACTTTTATTCTGAAAATTCTTCACTTCCGGTTAGCATTAGCATGTGCCGAAATGCTACGTTTTCAAACCGTGAATCGAAGGTGAAATGACATGTGATGTTGTACACTGAGCACACTGGGATTAGCACTCATTTATTGACGCTGAATAACGTTTATCAGGGAATGTTTAAATAACCACAGACACCAGAATATACGTAAGTGCTAGTTTTTTTGCGAGTCCAAGTACCGGTTCCCGACGTTCCGGTTTTAACCGGACTTGAACCGAAACTTTTTACAAGTCCAGTACCGGTTCGGCGTACCGGTACGCAGCACTAGTTACATATCATATCTAATCAGTTGCAGATCAAAGTGTGGTTTTATGAAGTCTGGATGGCTTCCATAATTCATGTCTATCACAGGATATTGGCTATTAAACTATTGTACCGCATAAAGTGGTACACTTTCACAAATGTACTCTTTTATAATGTCGCTGTCACTCTTAATGTTGTTCTTATATATATCCCACCACCAAAGTCCAGTGGAAGGATAATGTATGGAACGTTGTTACATCTGCACCGTTCTGTGTCTTTCTTCCATGCTGCCAACTGCAGCGTCTAACACAACATGGCTATTAGCAGGGAGGTCAGGAGGAACCAAGCATGCACCTAATTGGGAACAGGTTGAAGGCTAAGTTTAAAGAGTTGTTATCACGCTAAGAGGAGTTGCACTATTGACCCTCTAGAACCAAAGGTGTATTATGACACCCAGGTATTAAGTGTTGCTTAGCAGCATGCTGTATAGTCCAATACAGGCGGTTTAGACACTACTGTTGCAGTAGGGAATACGGCCTTGATCGCCCATAATCTGATTAGAAACACTTTGTTTCACCATGGTATGAACTTTGTAAACTCGGTAACAAATAAAAGGGATCAAACCCAAAATAGTTATCTGCTTTCCATGAAACATCAAGGTTTACTATAGGCAAAGTAATTTTAAGTAGGCAACTATTGGCCTTGCTGACTGGTTTGCAGCAAAACAAATAAAACAAATACATTGGAGAATTTACACATTTTCCCTCCCTTTTCACTGTCTCCTTTTATTTTTCATTTTATCTATGGGTTTTCTCCTTGCCCTCCTCTTTGATTACCCCTTACTCTTTAGCTAGACCCCTTACGCTAGTGGATCTAGCCACTTTTCTCTTTGTTGTTGCTTGTTCTTGTATGACCATGTCTCCGAATGTGGTCTAATGCACTAATAACTTTTTTGTGTATTGGATTACCTACAGTATATGATAACCAGGATTTGTCATTATCCACAAAAATGATATTCTTGTGCTGTCTTACTCAAAAGATCTATTCCTCTCTTCTTTCCGCCAATTCTGTGTGTTTGCTCTCCTCAAAGATAAAGTCTCCCACAGCTCGACTTTTCCAGGGGCTAAACTAATTCAATTAGAGGGGGCATGTTTGAGTGTAGCCTGGAGTTACACCCCATGAGCCAACATTGCAGAACAGGACATACTGAAGTATACAAGAGAGTCTGTCAGGTCAAACATTTTGTGTTGATAATAATAAAGCCAACATAAACATCTCATCCTAGGCACACATTTTGCTTTGGGGAAATTCGTTTTGTTACATGATCTTTAGGTCCATCAGTTCTTATAATTGAGATAGCACACCGTACTTGAACTTTGTCTGCTGGGAATGTGATGAACAAACACACGAAAAATGAAGATAAGGAGGAAAACAAAAGCATTGGAGAATAGTCAGGAATGTTATTAATAAAATACTCTTTCCTTTTGTAAATCTTTTGTTTGTGTTCTTTTTAACACAAATCACCGGGGGAGAAGCGTGAATGTGTGCTTTCACAATTATACATGCACTTGAGCACCTTTCAAGTGTATGTGTTGGTACATGGTTACGCATAATGCCATATTCTCACATTTACCAAGCATTTTTCTTTGCATATAAATGGTAAATGCCTCATTTACCCACATTTGGAGTTTCTGTTCTTGCCCATGGACACTTTGACATTTAGACGTTAAATTGAGTCTTTGATTCTCTGTGATTAGTGGACAACATTGTTAGAGTAAATGGTTAGACTAAGAGCTCATAAAAGGTTATGGCTTCACTGCACACCACTGAAACACTTTGAAAATTGCTCTATAATGCTTGATGGTCTACATGAAATGATATACGGCTAACCTATTGGTCCTATTTAACCACATTTACTGATGTTGTTCCCTACTCCCATAGCTAGTTTCTGCCATGTATTTAACCAATACTATGCATTCCTTTCCCCCGTATGCCTTGAATAACTTGGAGAACGTAAAACATGTATTAAGCTCACAAAATGTCTCTAAATTGCTCACTGTCCAGTTACTTAACACCAGGACACACAGAAATTAGGGTAAAAAACTCTAAAAAGACAAAATAAAACATGAAGGAGAAACCATGACCATGAGCGACAAATCAAGCTAGAAATGAGAAACCAAAACTATAAGCAAAATGAAAAAAAAGGTCAAACAAACTGTAAACAACAAAGCTGCAAGTGAGAGTACTGATTAAAAAATATCCTGTAACTAAGATGTAAGATATTGTTTATAGTAGTAGCAAATACATAACATATTTACTTGCCTTTACCTGTTTTTTTTAATAAACTTCTATTCTTAGTTTCTTTTCCTGTACTGAAACTTAAGATGAAGCAATCATGTGGATCCATAACATCCAGCTCCTTGTTTCATCTTACTGAACGCCTGGCCAACGTTTAAACAGGGCCAGAATCAAAAGATGAAATCTGGTGGTAATACAAAACATGTAAAGGCAAACAACAGATCAGAGAGACAGAGTTAGACCAAAAGAACAATCAAAACAAGACATGTCATTTCATGACAGTAGCCTCACTTGCAGTTTCTAGTTGTTTCTCATTTACAGTTTTCTCTCCTTGAGTTTTGTTTTGTTGCTTTGCTTATGGTTTCTCATTTACAGCTTTTTCTTTTTCGTTTATGATTTTGGTTTTCTCATTTATGTTTTTTTTTCCCTTTTTTCAGTCTTTTTTTTCAGACTACATAATGGTGACTCAAGAAACCACCATGGCGACTTTCACCAATGAAAGTGAGTTGTCCCCCAACATTGTTCCTGTCCATTGTGTATTCATCACGATGGTTCCTTGAATCACCGTGATGAGGATACAAAACAAACCTGGACTCAAAGCAATACACGCTGTGACTGGATAAGTAGATGTGTGTGCTGGGACAGATGTTCTAATTTGTGTTGAGCTAGTGGCACTTGAGATATAGGATTGCTACAACACACACAAACACACACACACACACACACACACACACTCTGGCAAACAGAGCAGTAGTCCTATCGACCCGCTCTCCGCCTGATCCGAGTATCTTCCTCAGTTGCTCTTTATTGATATGTGATTCTTTATCAGACATTTCCTGCAAGGCTTCAAGTTATCCGAAATATGTGGACTTACTGTGATCTTTGCCTCTTTCTTTGCAGGGATGTGGCGCCACATGTTGTGTACACCTACCAGGTCCAAACCATCTCCAGCCGGAGTGAGAGTGAGCCCTCCGCCCGGCTGGTACATGATCTGGGGGCACCTTACTGTGGAGATGGACGCATCCAGAGGTAACACGCACCCACATCAAAATATTTATATGCACGCATATAGATGTCCGAAGCATATTCAGAAAAATAAACGGTGTGTGTTTGTTTATTCTGAGTACCTCATCTTGTTATTTCAGATCCAAAGGAGAAGAGTGTGATGATAAGAACTCTATGAATGGGGACGGCTGCTCCAGTCAGTGCAAGAAGGAGCCTTTCTTCAACTGTGTTGGTGAGTAATATGAACAAATGTATCAACCAAAATGAAATGCCTTCACTGGTATATTTCTCTGTAATCGGCTGTTGGGCAAAGTACTATAGAAGAGAGTTAGATGACCTTCAGTGCACCTTTCATCGAGGAATTAACTTAGAAAAATACACAGTTTATGAAAGATTATTTTACTTGTAAACTGACTTTGTTGTAGCCTAAAAGTAGGCTAAAGTTGGATAACGAAATAATAATAGCCAGACTATGTATGAAACTGAAAAGCTTCTAAAACAAAAGTGACATTTTAATTGTATGAAGTTATGTTTAAACCACCACTTCATAACAAAACAGTTTTGTTTCCGCACCATGATATTATTGTCTGTGTAGACTGAAATGGTGAAAACTCCCAAAGGCTTACTTTGTGAATGAACAGATTTAACATCTGGGCCTCTTTAATCCAAGTTCTTTACGCCTTTCTCAGAAGAATACAAATGCCATTACATATCCATAATCACTTTGACCTCCAGTTAAAAAAATAAATAAATCTGGAAATCATTATTTTTCTAAAGGGTGAGTCATCTCATTCTACGAAGTTGAGTGACTGGCATCTCCTACGTTGTTTTGTTTTATGAATAGATGGATGGTTTCCCTTCCAGTTCCCCTGCTGGAGACTATCATTTTGCTCCCCTGTTGTGATACATGTTGTGATACATGTGTGTGAGCCTTAGTGAAGTGGCCACTTAATCCCTGTCAGATTGCTGGATGACTGCATTGGCTGTGCTGTTTTTCCACCAACTGCAGCACTCAGGGGTGTGTGTAAGTGTGTGTGTGTGTGTCCGACACTGTCTGAAATACTTGTAGTTTTTAACAGAAATCTGACACTATAATGATGGGACCTTCTGTCCATCTGTCTGTATGTGTGAGCGAGTGCCTGCTTGTCAGTGTGTTGGATAGTGAAAGAGAGAGTTGGATAGAAAATTGATACTAAGTATACAACAGGCCAGGGTGCTGCAGCCTGGACGAGCTTTAATGGGCCAGTCACACGATTAGGCCTAATTATATCTGGAGTTGACTAAATTTACAAGTTATTTTCCCCTCGCTCTAAATTCCTTGTTCTCAATAGAGTTCCAAGCAACAGTAAACACAAGTGCAGACATAAAGGAAATGCAATCAGATTTTTTACAGCCATGTCAACATGTATCAGAAAAGCGTTTTTCATAAAGGTCAGTTTAACATGGGATGCTGTGTTGAAATAATCAAACAAAACAAAACAGGAATAGTTAACTTTGAGAGCCTGCAGACTTTTCTTTCTTTTCTCTGGCTCTGTTTATCATTGTTTATCTCACCGCTCTCTTCCTTTCTCCAACTATTGGGCTCTCTTTTCCTTTTCATATTAAACTCAATCACCTTTCCAGTTATATTCTAAACACATCCCTGTCCAAATTGGAATACAGTAGCGCCACCCTTTCTCTTTTTCCTTTTACTCATCTTCTCTTATGAGTTCACTTTCTGCATATTACTTCTGCCACTTTCACAAGCCACTGTTTGAGCTTCCTCCTGCCTCGCTCCTTCCCTTCTTCCTTGCTTCTGCTCCTGCTGAGTGAGTGGCGGGAGCAGTATTCTGTATGCCCCCTCAGTAGCCCCTCGTTTCACCATCGCCAGAGCACAGAACTGACTTGAGTTTTTGGCTTTGCTGGAGAAGGCTGGAATTTCGAGGAGGAGGCCCCGGCCAACTTGGCACAGAATGCCGCCTTTCCCCCTCACTGGAACCCCACCGGCTGACACTGCTTTAGCTGAGAGCGGAGAGCAATGAGGCCCAGGCAACCTCCCTGCTCTGCTCCCCTCTCCTCCAGTCCATAAGTTCCCGTTCCAGACCTTAACTCTGGGCAGGATGTCTGTACAAAGTACTGCTGTATCTTTCTTTACCTCCTGACTTTGTCTAGCCCCCCCTCCTTACTTCCTCTCTTTGTGTTTATCCATATTCTCCCTTTCAGTATTTATTTTTTTCTACATTAACATGCTCTCTCTCTCTATTTGTAGGTCCTCACAAACTCAAGAATGCATCCTCCTTTTTTCATGCACCTTTTACCCTTTTTTCCCTCCCACTTCTTTATCTGTAACAATGCACATGTTCTATAAAAAAGAATGATAAAAGGGAGGTGAGCAGTAAAGATCGAACTCTGTAAAAAATTCACCTGGATGGCTTTGTTTAAGTGAAAAAAAGACAGAGCCAGGTGGTGAATGATGGATATCTTAACTCAAATGAAACTTCAACATACTAGAAAAAGCACCATAGATAATTATTAAGTCATAATTACATTTTTTTCCCCTGCTATCTATGATCTCTTCACTCACAGAGGAGCCAAGCATGTGTTACTACTATGATGGCGACGGGGTGTGTGAGGATTTTGAACGAGAGACCGGCGTGAGGGACTGTGGCCTCTACACCCCTAATGGTTTCCTTGACCAGTGGGCCTCATCTGTCGATGTTTCCCATGAGGAGAAGCCCTACTGCTCCGGGGAGGTGGCTGCGGGATACCCTGCTGTAACTAAGGTAGGGGCATACAAAGACTTCTTTTACATTGCATTGCATTTAGCTGACGCTTTTATCCAAAGCGACTTAAAATAAGTGCATTCGACCAACAAGATACAAACTTGAAGAAAACAGAATCATATAAGTACATCAGGTTTCATAGAGCCAAAACATTTCAAGTGCTACTCAACTGGCTTTAGATAAGCCAGCCCTTTATTAGTATATAAGTGCTCTGTTAGCAGTTCTTTGTTAGTAATTATATCGTTCGGAGTTGAGTCGAAAGAGATGAGTTTTCAGTCTGCGCCGGAAGGTGTGTAAGCTATCTGCTGTCCTGATGTCAATGGGGAGCTCATTCCACCATTTTGGAGCCAGGATAGCAAACCCACGTGTTTTTGCTGATGGGAACTTGGGTCCCCCTCGCAGTGCGGGTGCAGCGAGCCGTTTGGTTGATGCAGAGCGGAGTGCACGTGCTGGGGTGTACAGTTTAACCATGTCCTGGATGTGGGAAGGGCCAGATCCATTCACAGCATGGTACGCAAGTACCATTGTCTTGAAGTGGACTTCTTATGTATGTTTGGGAATTTCTTAATGCTTTGCTCACTGTGTTTGTTGATTCACACTACAGTTTGAATGGTGGAAATATGTTAAATGGCACATGCAAAATATTTTGTCAAACAACCAGTCAGTCAATTTAGGAGTCCTGTATCTGATATTATATACTGTAGAATAGAGATGGATAGAATCGGAGGATAAAACCCTCTTTATTCGTCACACATGTTCATGCACACAGCACACACAGTGAAATGTAGTCTCTGCTTTTTACCCATCCTAGTACCTAGTACTAGGAGCAGTATATACATATATATATATACACACAGATTGGATCATTGTGAAACATTAAAAACTGCAATTGTTCATAATAATTTGGGGAAATAATGTGGGGGGTTTAATTTTCTTCTCATGTTTTGCACAATGAAGTCTACATTTTGGTGACTGACTTGCAACAAACCCCATATATTTCCCTTGCTTGTGTATTAAGTAATTTTAGAGATTGGGACATTTAATTTACTGTCTGTCATGGTGGATTGCAAAAGTTTGCCGTAGTGCTTATTAAAAACGAGGGAAGAAGCCATTGATTCCACATAAACCCAATGTAAGAATTGATCGGAAGCTGAATGGACTTGATTGCCCAAAACATTAAGGGTGATTCATGCATTCATATACTAATACAAACAAAGCCTCGGACGTATAGAAGTGCATTACGCTCAATCCTATTTAATCCTAATAGGCATGGTCAGAGTTACGGCACATTCGTTAACTATCTCTTTTAAAGCCCTCTTCAATATTTCTATTCTTCATTTTTACTTTTATCTGTTGTTCAAACCAATGTTAAAACAAACATCCTGCAGTACATTTCCTAGAGTATGTTAACCTTAGAAATGTGAGACTTTGTACTGAAACTGTTAGGCGTCACATCTTCACTCTGACAGATCTCGCTCTGCTGAGACATGTGTGTGATGTTGGAAGTGTGTAATGTTGGCAGTAGTGCTTGTTCCTACTACTGATGATGCATTTTACAAGGCCAATGAACTAGGTATTTTTGAACAGCTGTGGTCAGGTGTCTTGCTCAAGAACACTTTGGCAAGGACTTACTAAAACAAAGGTATGAGTTTAACCGACACCATTTAATGCATTTGATATTTATATGGCACCACTACTGTCGGAGCGTGAGTTCCAACTAACAGCATTGCAGATGGTTTGTTCGCTGAGAGGAAAGAGACACCAATGGAAAATGTCCACATAGCTACAAAAAAGGATTTCTGCTGTGAGGGACACATTGTTCATAGAAATAGCACTTCTACTATTGAGAACACACAGTTCCAATAAGATATGTGATGAGTTAATGTCATTACAAGGTCACTGACTGTCCATTTTATGTGCACGTGTTGAAATTATGCAAACACAGGTTATGAAAACGCTCTCTCTTCTTTGCGCTCTGTATGTTCTGGCACACTTTTATCCAGTACATTGTGAGTTATGCGTCTTTTAAGTCCATTGTTACATCAAAAATAGTTTCTTTAAAGCCAATTCCTCTCACCAAAATCAGTAAACGTCGATGACATCTCTGAAATGTATGAGCCTGCTCCAGCATCACGCACTATAGCAGCATCAAATTCAACTCAATTTAATTTAGCTCTTACAGTGTCGGGCATATAAACACAATACTACACACACACAACACACACACACACACACACACACACACACACACACACACACACACACACACACACACACACACACACACACACACACACACACACACACACACACACACACACACACACACACACACACACACCTAACCATAAACATTGCTGCAGTAGTCCCTTGAGAAACGAAGATAACATAACGAAGCCTCAAATAACTGAGGCGAAATTCTTGTTCAGTCATTGCTCCTATAAGCAATTGCGCAATTGCGTGCATGTGGTTATGCCAACTGCCCTGGAGGCTCATGCCACAGATAAAGCATGATGTGATGATTGATTCTGGAGATGAAGACCAGATCCTGGGGTTTCTTTGTTCATGGATCCTGTTTAAATGGGGCCACTTTAGAACATTTTAAACACTGCAGTTTAACGTTTTTAAAGATGTTACCTATCTCGAGGAGGTCTTGAATCTCTCACATTCTCTATTTAGAAGACTTCATGTTATGTTCCTCAGTTTTTTGAGATTGGGGTTTTGATTTTCCTGGGTGTCTGTACTTTAGTGGTGGAAAAGGATTTAAATACGTATATATATGTAGATATAGATGTTTAAAGTTGAAGCCTCAGAGCTGCATAGTTAATTATGATTTTATGACCTTTGTTGAGATTTATTGAGATAGCAACCATTTATCTGAAAACACATGTTTGTTGTGAGCTCGGCACCTGCTTGCACTTCCTCAGAGAAAGAAAATCAGATTAATGCTTGACTTTTGTAGATGGTCTATTTCATATAAATATAATTTTGCAACTGTTGGCTTTCATAAAGTGACAGATAGTTCCTTGGCACGGAATTACTTGCCAATTCAAGTCAAAGAAGTCTGTCAGAAGAAGCCAGATAATATCTGCACTTGTATGACACCCAACTGTAGCCTTGCCAGAATCTGCCGGGTTAAAAGGGAAAATTGTGCCACAGTATGACTCTCTACAAATAGTTTCTGTCACCATCTCCTTGAAGTCAACTAGTGATAAATGCGGGCATGTTGCATAGTATATTTTCTCATGAAACAACTGTTGAGAGCATTGAGTGACTATGCATTAATGAGCGTGAGGGTGACCTTGCCAGGAGCTTTGCTGCTGTTGGAATGACTCTACAGAAATCACAATGTGGTAAGAAAACAATCTTTCTTTGTATTTCTTCCATTCCTTGAATACTAAACGTACAGTAAATGAAGTTAAAACAACCAAGATACAAAATGAATGCAGGATTCTTGTACTTGACAATACATATGATAAAGATACAGGGGGGGGGGGGGGGGAGTTATTATTTTGCTGTGGACTTGGCACATAGAGCAACCATTCATCCCAGTCAACCACAGTACTAACACTTTACAACGGCAAAAAGCCAACATGACAGTTGTATCTGGTTAACCACTAGCATCCATCAAATAATATGTACCATCTTTGTCCTTCTAGTGACTTTGTGTGTGCTGTTTTTAAGTGCTCATATATTTGAGAAAAAGACAGATATGAATAAAGAAAGATCGGAAAAATGAAGTACAGAAAGTCAGGTTATAAGTGCAAATGAATTGAAGTAAGAAAACCTGCATTGCGTTTCTTAGTAAATTGATGGGCCAGCACAAGCTGCCAGAACAGCTTCAATGCTCCCTGGCTTCTCCAAATCTCTGGAACCCTACTGGAGGAACAGAACTATTCTCCTAACAGATATTCCCTGATTTCTTAAGTAGAAGAACACAAATTGAAAGATAAAGCAGAGCCATAATCTTTGTTATACTTTTTTAGATACAGTGTAGTGGTTATACACTTACTTTTATGCTCATACGTTCTGTTTTTTTGCATTAAAATCAACCCAATGGACATAACAGTGCTCCTAACTACATTAATGGAATCAGAATTTAGCAAATGCCCAAAAAAGACACAAGTTTATGTTGAAGTGAAAAAGTCCTCGAGCAGCCATTGCAATTATAACTCAGTTTAATGATGACTACTAGCAGATAGTGAGACATAACATGGCCACAAAGTACACAAAGGGAGAAAAAGAGGGTGGTGAATCAGATAATGAGAACAGAAAGTGTGTATGTGCTATTTTAAGTTATACTTATATATAAGGCTATTGTTAATAGCTCACTTCATCCCTTGCGGTTTACCATATTTCCATGTTCATGGTTTACAGCTCTTTGGTAGAGTCAGGCTAGAGCTGAAGTGAACAAACTTTCCGTGTGTTTGAGAGTTTTCTTTTGTTCTGTATGAGTGTGTTGGGGGTACTTCATAATGTCCTTCTGATCCAGCAAGCAAGCCATGTATTGGTTTTTGTGTATCAGTTCCGTTTTGTGTGTGTGTGTGTCTGAGAGAGAGAGGCTGCCAGCGGTGATAGGGATCTTTGCGGATGCAAGAAAGCAACAACAGCACAAGAAGGCACTTGAGAAGAAAGAGAGATAATATATCTGCACGACATCTCAAGTGCTGTGTGTGTGTGTGTGTGTGTGAAAGGTATACACTGGAATATATGTTTACTGTATAACATACGGACATAGATACAGAGGGATACTGAAAACATCCTTTCATCCATTAAATGCCACGGTGAATGATAATCTGACAATGCAGGATTAGTGCATGAGAGCTGGATATTTTCCTTAACTTCAAAGTCTTCATGCACCAAATAAAAATTGGTGTATTATTCCTAAAGACTTGTTATGCAATGAAATGGAAATGCGAATGAAGCTAGAATCCCTTCATTAAAAATAAGATGGAAAAAAAGCTGAGATGTGTAATTTAATTGAATACAAAATATGCTGG